TCTTGTTGTGATAATACTGTTGAGTCTTCTTTGTTTGTTTGTTTGTGTTTTTTTAAAGAAAAATAAAATGTAAAGATTAAATTGTATTATAATATAAAAGAATTAAATTATATTTGAATTATAATATTTAGGGTTTATTTTAAATGAAAAATAATTATAAGAAATAAAAAATATTTTATTTTAATTTATTTAAATTTTAAGATTAAATAAAAATTGTTATAGATTTTAAAGGATCAGATGGATCATTTCGTTTCCTTATTAAAGAAAAATAAGTTAATAATACGTTGTATCGTGTTTTGTTTTGTTTTTTTTTAAGATATTTTTTTTAAATATTAAATAAAAATCAAATCTCAATATTTAAATATATGCTTTCTATTATACATTGTAATATTATATTAAATGAATTAGTTGATAGACTAATTATTATTAGTTTATACTAAATTTAAAATTGATTATCATTAATCAGTATTCTTATTGATTTAATTACCTAAATTATAAATTTGATAAATTTATGTAATAGTAAAAATTAAATTAGTTAATTGATATGTTAAAATACGGCTCGATAAAAATAGTATTATTAATTGAAAGAAATAATATTTTAATATATTAATCAATTAATTAAATTGTTATTATTAAATAAATTTATAAATTTTTTTAAATTACATTTTAGGTAATCAATAATAACAATTATTAATAATAATCAATTTAAATTTTAGTATTTAAATTATTTCTGTTAATATTTCAATATAAATTATTGATAACTATTTCATTATTAATTAATGTAATTTAATATTAAATTTTCTGTAATATTTGAACGAGAGGTCTGTTTGGAATTTGTTTTTAGTTTATTTGAGAAAAAATCTTTAGTAAGAAAATATAAAAAGCATGAATTTTAACAAAATAAGATAATTACTTAAAATGGTTGCTTTAAGATTTAACCAAGAACACTTTCACTTTAACCATGAAGGTACTGAGAATTTAGTCTTTGGCAACGTGTGTGAAATGAAAATCTTTGTAAGGTGACAGGCTGGATCTGGTCAACCTTTCTTGCAAAAATACATAGAATGTGGCATCTCAGATATATTATATAATACAATACAGCTGATTAAATTGACTTCAATTTTGATCTTGGATGAGCCAGCCACCTCACAGAAATGCCACAAAACTCTAACCATCATTCCTAATAAACTAATCAAGAACCAAGTTGTTACACATGTGTGTGTCACTATCGCATGTACCATTCAAAATTATAATTTTTCCAACGCACTGTAGTTATGCTTCTTTGACCACCCTCACTCAATCATGTTTCTGTACCTGAATTAATTTTGGTCTTTTTAAGCATTCATGTCAACTTGCATCCCTTCTTATTTATCTATCTCTATGTCAGATCATATACTGTGATTTTTATCATTATTGTTGGCTCAAGGTACATACATGAAATTAGAATATTAGCTGCAGCAAAGAAGAACAAAAAAGCAGAGAAGAAGTGATTGGTACCACAGAGGGAGAAACTGGGAACTAGGATGGGAACTGTTACTCGCAGCTCCTCTGAAGTGTATTCAAGTGACAGTGAAAAGGGGTTTGCGGTCAATCAATCTACTCCGCCAGAGCTAGATGCAGGGGCAAAGTTTGTTCTTGTATCACGAGGTGAGGGTGCTTTTCCTTGTTCTTGATGAACAAAAATTGTAAAATAAAAAACAGCTTTTGGTTTTGACTTTTCCATGAAGACGAGAAGAGGGTGTTTGCTTATGATGAATTGTCCACCTTATGGTGGTGTGTGCAGGATCATGGTTGCACTGTGGGTATCATTTGACTACATCTATTGTGGCTCCGGTGCTTCTTACTCTTCCTTTCTCCTTCACTCTGTTGGGTTGGGTTGGAGGAGTGCTTTGGTTGACCCTTGCAGCTGTTATTACATTTTATGCGTACAACCTTTTATCTGTGGTCTTAGAATATCATGCAGAGCTTGGGCGTCGCCAGCTTCGGTTCAGGGACATGGCTAGAGATATTTTAGGTGATTTTTCAGCCTCTTTTGCTTCATTTTATTAACTAAAACCTCCCATTTTTCACTGAATTATCTTGTTCTTTTAAGGGGCATAAGATCAGCATACTATATACTTTCATTGTTCAAAAGAAAAGCGCTTCTAATGTGGAAAGGGCCATGCACAGCTTTGAGAAATTGCTTAAGCCTCTTTATTACATAATAGTGATATTAGTGAGAAAAGATGTCGAGAGTATAGACACTAACAACCAGTCCTCACAGAAACTTTTTAACTTCTAGTGTTATCCACTAATTTAGTTGGTATTGAGCTACCTGTCTGATTTTTCTTTTTCGCCTTTATAGACTAGTTAGTAGTTACTATTTTCTTTCTTTTTTAATTGGTTTCATCCTTTCACCTGGAGGATGTGTGGCTTAAATGGGTTGGGGGCATTCATAGCTAATGGTATAATGTAAATGTTGTGGCAGGACCTGGATGGGCAAAATACTATGTAGGCCCGCTTCAATTTGCCATATGCTTTGGCACAGTGATTGGTGGTCCTCTAGTGGGAGGAAAGAGCCTCAAGGTAATTAATTACTAGTGTCATTGAGCCATTACAGTTTCTGAAATTTCCCATTTCAATGTTACTTTGTTTATTGAGAAGCTACATTTTCTTCTTTTTTGCAGTTCATTTACCAGCTCTACAACCCAGAGGGATCAATGAAGCTTTATCAGTTTATTATTATATGTGGAGTCATAACAATGATTTTGGCTCAACTTCCATCCTTTCACTCCCTGAGGCACGTTAATATGATTTCTCTGGTTCTTAGCGTGTTGTATGCCACATGTGTCACGGTCGGTTCTATATACATTGGTAAGGAAATAAAGGGAAACACAATGGCATTAACAGCTTAAGCAGACTTATTTTAATCAACTTAACGTCTTGCTTGTATCTACCACAGGTCACTCCAAAGACGCGCCACCTAGGCATTATTCTGTAAGAGGTTCTGATGCTGATCAACTCTTTGGTGTCTTCAATGGTATCTCAATCATTGCAACCACATATGCTAGTGGAATCATTCCTGAAATACAGGTTTGTTTAGCATCTTGGTATTCATTTTTCAGAGAAACAAGTGTTATTAGATATGCAATCAAAAGCAAATTTAATATGGAAACTTCACTTAAACTAGTGTCCAGTTCTAACAGAATAAGCACCAGCGAGACATCAGTACATCATATCAAGTGACTAAGTAGAATTCTTCTGCAATTTGCAGGCAACTTTGGCCCCTCCTGTGAAGGGAAAAATGTTGAAAGGACTATGCGTCTGTTATTCTGTTATAGCCACCACCTATTTTAGTGTCGCCATCTCAGGTTATTGGGCTTTTGGTAACGAATCTGGTGCATCAGTTCTTTCTAACTTCATTCGTGAGTCTAAGCCTTTGCTTCCCAAATGGTTTTTCTTGATGACTAATATTTTCATCCTTCTACAAGTGATGGCACTCACTGCGGTAAGAAAAGCAACGCCTCTTGGTATATACATTTTGTCAAATTTGCAATGCACATGATGAATAACCATAGATTGATTATGTTACAGGTTTATCTGCAACCAACTAATGAAATATTTGAAGCAACCTTTGGAGACCCAAAAATGGGGCAATTCTCCATGCGCAATGTTGTGCCCAGGGTGGTACTTCGGTCACTATCAGTGGCAGCAGCCACGGTTTTAGCATCAATGTTGCCATTCTTTCCAGATATAATGGCCTTGTTTGGGGCATTTGGATGCATTCCTCTTGATTTCATTTTGCCTATGGTTTTTTATAATATGACTTTCAAGCCCTCAAAATACACCATTACGTTTTGGGTGAACACAACGATTGCAGGAGCATCATCAATTTTAGTTGTAATTGGAGGAATAGCATCGATTAGACAAATAGTTCTTGATGCCAAAACATATAGTTTGTTTGCAGATCTGTAAAAAATTCATAGCAATACATACAAACCCCAGTGCTAAGTTTCATTGCAAGTCTATAAGTAATCTCAAATCAAGCAATTCTTTCAACCGTGTCGATTTTCTGACCCATTGTCTTTGTTAGCATTTTGGTTACCGGCAATGCTCGTATATAACTACTGGGGTTTAGTGAGTTAAACGAAAATTGTTAAATAGAGAAGTTGAAAAGAAAAGGAAGTAATAGAGGATTCATAGATCATTTATTGAGAATGTGCAAAACCGCTTACACAAGCACACTAAATACTAAATAGACTGTTACAACCGAGTACCATAACATAATGATAGATGAAGCACAAAATACTCAAAACTAACAAGATAGTAACAATCTTAAAACTTTAAATTGAGTGTTAATATTAATACAAGTATATTGTTTAAATTTGTTCATGTAAAATATTATATTATTATATTATTATAAATTATTAATTATGTTTTATTTGTTTAAAATATTTCAGTGAAAACAATAAAAGGATGCATGTCGATAAGATGATAAATTAAAAGTAATTTTCAATATAATTCTAACCTGTATTATTGGTATCAATGGGTGGAAATGAAATATATTTAGTATCTTTTATAATTTTTGTATAAATAAATAGTATAACATTTTTTTATAAATAACAGGTGTAAAATAATTAAAAAAGTGATGGCTTTATATTTGTTTCCCTCGTAATAAAATACAGCAACAAATAAATACTGAGATAATTTATTTTGGATATGTTAGGCAAAATATGTGATCACCTCAAAACTTACGACTCTATGAACTGAAAAAAACATTATATTTTTAAGGTGAAGGAAATCGACAATAGTTTTGTTACTGAAATTAATAATAACAAAAATTATTTAAATGATGAAATTATGATACTATAATTTGTTAAAAATAAGAACCAGTTGGAGAGATACAAATGGTAGAGTAACAGTGGAGGATGTAACAACTTAAACCGAACACTCTTCTTATATATATGCGTTAGGGTTATAATCTAACTTCACTTCTCATTGCTAACTCCGCCCCTTCAACAATGAGCTCAAACGTCGAAGAAGAACCACCTAAACAATCCCCACCAAACCTCTTGTCTTTGTTCCCTAAAATCCAATTTCAGTTTCCTTTTCTCCCACACCTATCACCACCTCAATCTCAATCTCAACCTCGACAATCCAACCCTCAGGATGAGGGTCCTAACCTGAAACGCAACGTTGTACGCTTTCCCAAAACCCAAGCTGCGGTGGTTTCTTCCACGCCTCTGCAGACTGAACTCGATGCTGACCATTCTCCGGCCGTCAAGACTACCAATCCTCTTTTACTCTGGCAGGTATTCATTCTACGCTTTTCGTTTCTCTTTCTTCAACCATAAACTCACTCACATCTGTCAATTTAGGGTTTGGGGTTACTCTTTGAGCTTGCAACGGTTATTTTTTGAATATGTGAATGTTATCACCTTGTTTCTGAAATTTAGCTAGTAGTCAAATTAATGATGGAAATTCCTTCGGTGGTCCCTCAAACGTCGAATTGGATTCTACCTGAAGCGTAGTTTTACATCTGTGAAGTTTTGTATGATTTTATACTTCCACGTGCTGGATATGGTTTGGATGGTTGAAATATTCCTGAGTCTTGGATTGCTTTTTTTTGTCTCTTGTTTCTGCACCTATGTTACAGAATGTAAAATAAGCAGCCATGAAGGATGAAAATGTTCTTTTACGGTTAGCAATCATAAGATGGATTTATGGAATGTAATGTTTGTATAGTCAAACTACGGTTCATTGGATTTTGTAGAATAATGTTGTTGGCACTTTTTGGGCATGACACGACACCTACTCTTGGCTAAATACTTTCTAGACACTGTTATCATAATTAAAAAAAAAAAAATATATATATATATATATAATTTATAATTATTGGCTCATAACATTTTTTTTTTGAGGTTTGTTTTCATAGGACTTAGGTTGTTATTTTTAGCATTAAGAGATTTGTTTTTGAGAATTCTATTGTGAGGGCTGCTATTATATGAAACCAATAAAACTCAGCAAAAAAAATTTATAGTGTGAATTATATAATTTTAATTGAGATTTTTGGCATATGTTGATTATATAATTTGGACATTAGTTGTGTCTAAGTGTCGATGTCTGTGTCTGTGTTTCATAGAGTGACTGATATATTATTGAGAAGGTTATATTTGTTCTTTCTGATAATTATTCGTGTCAATGTATATGTATGGTTTGGTATGTAGAATTAAGTACTTACTGTACGATCCATCAGCATTACTAAACCTGGAAGTCTCGACCGATCCCTTCTCACCCATTTGGGTTTATATTCCTAGCATAGTTAAGGAATGAGCCCACAAGCTGACATTCTGTTCTGTTATCTGAACAAATAGTCCAGTTGTAATTGATTATATGGTTATCAAAATCACCTTAGATACGATTAAGCTTTTTTCACAGCTGTCGTCACTTGTGTATATATTACTTGTAACAGTCAAGAGATAAATTAACTCAGAATTTCCCCTAAATTTCTTAAGACACTGTCTAGAAGACTGACCGGCAGCCAAAGAGTGTCGGCATAAGGGTCATTGGTTACTGTGTTAGATTTATCAGATTGAGACCTTGACATTTGATTTCAGTTTATTTAGTTGACAGCGTGGTGGTGTTATGGTGAAGTTTGAAAGAAGTTCCTGCAAATGATTGCATGACAGTTTTCCCTCTTCCCCTCTGACTAGAATTGCTCAAGTGGGCATTCTCTACTTATCTTGCCTGTTTAGCTACCTCTCTTTTTTTTTTTTTTTCTAATTTTCATATATTATTCTTATACTTCTCATTCCTGAGGCATGTTGGAATACTACATTTTTATCTCGATATGACTTTTAGCTTGAGAGTAACGTATTTAATGTGTCTGCTTTGGCAAATATCACAGTACCCAGCTGATATTAACTTATTTTGATTGAGAACTACATTCGAGTTTTGCATTATATATGTATTTCACTATTTGTTGTACCCGAGCTTCCAACTGCTAGCTTTTGTATTTATTGATTTGACCAATGAGTTTGTGTAATCTGGTTATGCTTCTTCACTATGATGACAAGTCCATTTGCATTTTCTCACAAGTTTACTTTATTTTATTTTAGATTTACGCATTAGGAACAGTCGCAATTTCTTCATGGATTTGGGCCAGGTGGAATGAGAGGAAGGGTCGAGGAGGGTCTCGCGATGATGAGAGAAGGCACTCTGATGATGGTAATCACTGACCTTCAGGCGATGAACAGAAATTGTCATTAGTTGTATACAGAGCTGTGTCAATACTCTCTCACATTCTCAGTATGAATGAATGTTTGTTTCATTACCAGGAGTTCCTGAATTGGTACATATTTTCTTTGATATCGAATAATAGCATCGATTCTTTCTCGTTTCTGTTCTCAAATAGCAGGTTTCTATCTTTACTAATTCCACAACGAACAACACCTGCTTCTTCCTTTCCATGCAATTTATGGAAGAAAAATATTGCTTTCAAAATTAAGTGCTTATAGTAAACGTAATTTGTTTTAGCATGAATTAAGCACAAAACATCTTAAGTTTAAATATAACTTATAAAAAAGTCATTATAGGAACATGTTTTTACCACTAAATTTTAAATTTGTTCAATCAAGCATAATTTGGTTTTATAAAATTCCATCTATGAAAGTAACATGTTTAAGGATTGGTGTACTCTTGAGTAAGAGATTATTTATGCAAATTATCTCTAGAACTTGTAAAAAGAATTATTTTTAAAACAAGCTGAATTAATCATGCAATACACAACATATATTCAATTAAAACTACATTTTCCTTTTTAATGTTATGGTCCTCCTAGATTTTATTACGTTGGTAAATAAGTATTAAAATAGAGAGGATAAAATTAAAAAGAAAATTGTATAAACAATTACTTTGTAACAATTTATATATTGTGTTTATATTTTCCTATTTTATTTTTGAAAACAATATACATGAAAAAGTATATATTAGGTACAAAAACGTAAAAAATAAAAAACATATATGCATGAATGTAGATATTACCTTTATATATATATATATATATATATATATATATATATATATATATATATAATATCAACTTTACAGTGCAACTAGCTTTTATTTTCTTTCCAGAAACATGTTATTTACTTTACTGTTAACTTAAAATTGACTATATATCAATGGAATAATTAAAAGAGAATAAAATAAATGGGAGACAAAGACTGTGAACCAATGATTGAGAAAAAATTTTTCTCTCTCTTGTCTATTCATGAAAGCAAAGCAATAATATTTATGTACAACATAGTGCTCATGAAAGGACAAAAAAGAATAACAAAAAATTGCAGCAGAAGGTACAACAGAGGATGAGGTGTTAAAACTTCTAAATACAATACATACATAAATCTCTAATATGTACTACCTAACAGAATGTATAACTATATTAGGAAGAGGCAAAATCTATATAATATGAGCTTATGTATTTCTATTTAATTGGGCTGGGGTTACTGGTTTATTGAGCGGTTGTGGATCCTCTCGTTTTTCTTCTTTTAGTCCCTCATAAGCTGAAGGTTTGAAGATGTCAAGAAGCTCCAACTTGGATAAATTGGAGTGAAACAACCATAGAGGGAGTGTTTTAGTGAAAATATCTACTAATTGATGTGATGATAAAACCAGTAAGAGGTGCAATATATAATACTTTGTCCTTTCATGAACGATGTGACAATCAATCTCTAAATAATTCGTTATTTCATAAAAGACTGAATTGACTGCAATGTATTTGGCTATCACAATAGAGGATAAAAGGTTAGTAATAGGAATTCTCAAATCACTAAGGAGGAAAGAGAGTCATTGAAGTTCACAAGTAACAGAGGTAAGTGCCATGTACTCTGCTTCTGTCGAAGATCGAAAAACTGTAGATTGCTTCTTGGCTTTCCAGGAGACTAAAGAGTTGCCAATAAAAAAATAATAACTAGTGATTGAACATCGTGTATCAACACATACAACCCAATCAACATCACTGAATCTAAGAAGTTGTGTTGAAGACTTGCGACTGGAAAATAAACCTTTCCCAGAACATCTTTTTAGATAGCGAATCACCCTCAAGGCAGCTTGAAAATTAGTCTAAATTGGTGCTACCATGAATTGACTAAGCTGTGAGTGGCGAAAACTATATCAGGTCTTGTGCTGGTTAAATAAATGAGACGTCCTACTAATCATCTATATGACAAGGGATCAGCTAAAGGTTCACTGGAATCTTGATGAAGATGCAAAGAGTCATCCATTGGAGTGGAAGAGGGTTTGCAACCCATGAGACCAGAATCTTTAATCAATTCCAGACAATATTTGCGTTGATGTATAGAAATTCCTTTACTAGAATGAGCCACCTTTATTCCCAAAAACTATTTCAATTGACCAAGATCCTTTATATGGAAATAAAAGTGAAGAATGGTCTTAATTTTAGCAATTTCAAAAGCACAATTTTCAGTAAGCACGATATCATCAACGTAAACAACGAGAGCAATGAAAGCAAAACTAGTAACTTTGACAAATAAACTATGATCAGCATGTGCTTGAACATACATACCTAGAAGGCAGTATAATAGGAGAGATAATTTTTCATACCATTTGCGGCTTGCTTGTTTCAAGCCGTAGAGTGATTTCTTAAGCTTGCAACAATGATTAGAAGGATGACTAGAGAGTCCAGGAGGAATTACCATATACACATCTTTTGAAAGGTCCCCATGGAGAAAAATATTGTTGATGTCGAGTTATTGCAAGTCCCAATTGTGGATTGATGTCAAAGCTAAAAGGACCCTGACTGTAGTCATTTTTACTACAAGGGAGAAAGTTTTTAAGTAGTCAATCCCTTCTTTGTAAGTACCCTTTCGTAACTAGGCGAACTTTATAGTGCTCCACAGATCCATCAGACCTGCGCTTAATTTTGAAAACTCATTTGCATCAGATGGGTTTGACAGAGGGAGGTGTGGCCACAATGTCCCAAGTCTCATTCTTCCTTAAGGCCGTAATTTCGGCTTGCATCGCCTCCTGCCAACAAGGTTGAGCAACAGCCTCTTGATACGTGTTTGGTTCTTCCTCTTTATTGAGACACATCAGAAAGTGAGAATGAGGAGAAAACAAGTGAGAATAATAAATGACGGACTAGATAGGATATAGGATCTTTGAAGGGGATTGGTTAGAATCCTTTGGAACAATTGTCAAATCACTTGAAGTGTTGTAATAATAATCATCAAGATAGCTTGGGCGAAGTGACATGGGTGGAATGTCGGAGGTGGAGGGGAATTTGGTGGTGGTGAGGAGGGAGAGGGTTGATGGTGCGGTGAGGGAGAGTTGCTGGTATATGATGGAGAAGGTCAACTAGGACTAAGAGTGGGGTCCAGGGAGTCTAAGGGTTCTTGGTGAGTGGGGTGACTCAAAGGGAGGTGATGGGAATAGTCTATTTTAGGTTCTGGGAGAGTGTGAATATAGACAAAAAATGTTTGGGAAGGTTAGATTGAAACATGAGAGCCCTAGCCACATTGAGAATGTGTTGATGTTTTCTTTTGATGTATCCATTTATTGGGGGTATAAACACAACTTGTTTGATGTAAGATGCTCTTTGATGAAAAATAATCTCTCTAAAAAAATTGAGACTCATTGTCAGAACAAATGCACTTTATGGTGGTATGAAATTGATTTTCAATTAAAGCAATAAAATTTTGAATATGTTTTTAGACTTCCCCCTTTGATTTTAATAAGATAGTCCATGTAAAACGACTAAAATCATCAAAAATAGTTAAAAATTATTTATGATCGTGAAAAGAGGGTTTAGAAAAAGGTCCCAAATATCTATATAAATTAAATCAAATAAATTGCAAGATCTATTGATACTTGAGAAAAATGACAAACGTTTTTATTTAGCTAAATGACAAATATCACAATTAACATCAACATACTTAGAAACAAAAGGAAAATTCATCTATAAAATATTTAGACGTTTTTCGAAAAGGTATCCTAACCTAAAATGCCAAAGATTGGTGTTGTTGATAGGATGGGTGGTGAAATTAATGCTGAAGGAGACTTTAGGTGATGTCAAACTTACATGATTGTTGATGTCCAAGTAATAAAGACCTTGTTTCAATTTACCCAAACCAATCGTCTTCAATGACCCCATTTCCTGTACATAACAGTGGACATTAGAAAAGATGAGAGAATAATTTTGAGAAAGAAAAAATTTAGAAATAGAAAGCAAATTAAAGTTAAAATTGAGAACAAAAAGAACATTATGAATTATAAAATTTGGGAAGAATTGGACAGAGCCCGAAAAATGTGTAAAGACAACAACACCATTGGATAAATTGATTTGGACAGGTTTGATTTTAGAAAAATTAAAAAAAGAATCTAAAGAGGAGGTAATATGATCAGTTATCTCACAATCAATAATCCAAGGAATGTTATTTTGTGAGTGTGTGTATTGGACAAAAAATGACGACTATGTGATAAAATACCAAGCTTAGAGTTAGAAACATGTATTGGGCCTATTGGTGAAGACACTTGGGTGATGTTGGCCCGTGAGGGCTGGACAAAGCTTGTACCATCAATATCAAAAGGTTGTGGCTGAAGGAGGTTGATTAACGTTTGATATTGAGCCTGGGTCAAGTGAAATCCAGACCCATTGGAGGATCCCTCAACAACAGAAGTGTTGTATTCATTGTTACTGGTCTCTTGAACCACACTGTTGGCAGAGGCGGTGTCATCACGTGGATTAAAGCGAGGACGACCTGGATATCGTGGATGACCCGGTGGGTACCCATGCTTGCCATAGCACGTTTCAACAGTGTGGCCGGTGCGGTGGCAGTACACGCACTTCTTGTTGGAAGCATTGCGTGTGTTGTTGCCTGCAGGACCTCCGGGAGGAACTTTACTGTTGCATCCCTTGCCAGAAGAGGTGAAGCCGGAGTTAATAAAGGCATTTGGTTCTTCCTCTCCATGGGGAAGCAAGTGTTGACGCTCCAGTTGCATAACCATGGAGAAAACACGGGATATTGGCGGCAAAGGGTCCATAAGAAGGATTTGGGAACGAACAATAGAAAAGCGATCCTCCAATCCTTTGAGAAACCAGATAATAAAGTCCTGTTGATGATATGTCTTGGCAGAACACTGTCATTTTGGGAAGGGGCGATAATTATCAAGCTCCTCCCAGAGAGATTTGAGGGATGTGTAGTATTCAGATACAGGACGGAGCCTTGCTTTATGCCATATATTTCTTCTTGAAGTTCTGCAATACGGAGAAGATCACTCTGAGAAAAACGATCTCTAAGATCATTCCAGATAGCAACAACACTTTCAAAAATAGATGACACTTCAAACAATAGGTGGAGACAGAGAGTTAAGGAACCAAGACATGATTAAAGTATTACAACGTTCCCATGGAGTGTGCAAAGGATCAGTAGCAGCAAATTGAACGATAGCACCGGTGAGAAAACCCATCTTGTTTTTAGAGATTAAGGCCATACGGATGGTACGGGACCAGGAATGGTAGTTTGAGCCGGTGAGAACAGGGGTAATGATAATGGAACTAGGCCCTTCACTAGGATGAATGTGAAATGGGCTGGAAGGGTTAAGACTAGGATCTGCATTACCACCATTGGAGGTGGTTTCAGTTTCAGAGTGAACTTCAGACATGATGAGGAAGGGAAGGTATTAGCAGGGTTCCAAGAGTTGGAGCTTTGATACCATAAAAGAGAACAAAACAAATGGCAGATAAAGCTGTGAACCAATGATTGAGAAATTGATTTCTTCTCTCTTGTATATTCATGAAAGCAAAACAGTATATTATTTATGTACAACCTATTGCCTATGAAAGGACAAAAAAGAATAATAGAGAATTGCAGTACAGAGGGTGACGTGTTAGAACGCCTAAATACAATACAGAAATTTCTAATATGTACTACCTAACACAATATACTGTACAATACGGGTTTATGTATAGCTCTGCCACCCCCTAGATGTTGATCTCATCCTGGGTAAATGTTATTTTCTGTAAAGTAAGTATGATGACAACAGTTATGAATTTATTTTGCTTCAATCTGCTATGGAGAAGCTGGGTGTTCAGAGTGCACTCTTGTTGCCTGAGGTTGCTGAACCATATAGCAGGCAACGTTCTATTAGACACCTTGAGAAAGGAAGGGTCGTCATATTTGGTGGTGTTGGTGCTGGCATAGGAAATCCACTTTTTACCACCGATACAGCTGCAGCTCTCAGAACTTCTGAGAGTATGACCTTACGCTATCGGAACGTGTAACTAAGTACTTCTAACCAATGTTAATAATATTTTCGAACACCACTGTCGGAGGTGTCAGTAAATATGGGTTATTTTTGTTTAAAATTTTTATACATTACGTATCATTATTAAATTATTTTTGTTTGACAGTATGTTGCATAACCTATTAAACAGCTCAATTTTTTCCTGTCTAATTACTGAAATATAATAAATGCCACCAGGAAATACAAAAAATAAAATAAAATTAGGCAGCTTCAACAATTATTAACGAGGATTTTCATTAATGGGTCACGAATTATACTTTGATCATCTGTACAAAATCGATCTTATTCAAGAACAATTACAACTAAAATTGTCTGCGATGATAATTGTCCCAAAATTTACAACTATACAATGCATATTATCAATGTGGACCAACATGATGCGCATCCACCCAAAAAACATGGACCGAACATTCCCAAATAGATGTCTGCACCGTGATGATCTCCAGCCAACTCTCATAACCTGTACAATTCCCGGGACCCCTATAAAAATGGCAGGGTCCTCTACTTCTCCCATTTTCACATGAGGAGTGCTAAAAAGAATCAACAACCATTTTCACTGATTAAAGAAACCAAAATTGGTTACGCAACTGTTCACTGCCAGTCTTTTAGGAAGTAAATTCCTGCTCACTCATACTTGAAATAACTATCATCAATTGATAGTTGGTCAAATGCATCAAAGTTTGCCTTCAGGCCAACATACTGGCTACCTAGTTGAGCACAACCACCATTTGGCCACTTACAGCCTCCAACTTCAGAGCCAAATGGGCATAATGATTCACATACCCGACTAATCGCACTGTTTCCATCAACATCATCTGCTGCAACCTGTACTGAAACTTTGTCATCACGCAAATTACTACCTGACTCTTTCCTAGAGGAACAACACACAGCTGGGTTGCTTTCAATGTCAACAATGCATTCACTACCAGAGACTTGAACCTTACACCCCATAGACTGGATTGCACGCTTTATGGCAATATTTTCTTTGCTCATACTCTTTGCCGTGTTCATAGCTGAGCTGTTTAACTGCTTCTCACGTCGTAATTCTGCATTCAGTGACTCCATCGAATTTGCAACTTCTTTAGCTTTCCTTTCTGCCATTTCTTTAGCCTGTAACCATCCCAAGCAGATGAAAAAAGTAAATGGCAGTCACAAGACCTACAAACAGTGTTAACCAGTGGTGCCTTTCCACAAATAAAGCAAGGCAGTGGCTTTAGAGGGGACATAGTCATAATCAGAAAATAGAAGAATGTATGTAACTACCTTTTGCAACTCAGAGCATTTCATAACTATCTTCCTGCATTGTGCTTCGATCTCCCCAGCTTGTGCTTCTTCTGGGCATGCCCAACGAAGGTGGAATTGGGGCCACAAAGTAGGGGCCAATGCTGCTGCTGGGGGCAGAAGTGGACCACTATGCTTGAGTGGATCATAGAAGGGATTGTAATGCACATGGGATCCTCCTTCTAATGTCCTCAAATCAGCTAAGTATACCCATAGACATCCACATGCCTCAAAAACATTGAATTGCTGCCTCTCCTTCTCGCTAAGAAAATTGCAATCAGAATAAATACAATAACCAGTATCAGGACAACTGCAATTTGTCCAGTACTTATTTCACATTTCCCATGCTTTAATCCTAAGGTATGTTTATGATTGGGGAATTCCACTTACCTCCCCTGAAGTTATGCTAAATGACAGTTACACCCCCTCTAGTTTTAAAATAAACACACACCTCCCTCGTGTTTTCAATAAAATGACACTCATACCTTCTCTAGTTTTTAAATATATATTTATGTTTACAATAAACGAAATGACATTCATCTCCTTTATGTTTTTTAATAAAGTGTTGCTATGGTAAATTAGCAACAATATACGATAAGAATACTTCTGTCCCAGTGAAATAACAAAATTTGAGGAATAAAAAATGAAACATAACTTTGCACAACTGTTTAATATGTCCGCCTATCAGCAAAAAATCCATATTGCTAAGTTATTATCATTCTTAAATCCTGAACTGCGTCTTACAAGTGAAACCTACTCAACACTGCGTTGGTATCTTTCACTACATTCATAGTGAAGTGTCAGTCAAAAAAGGGTGTCAATGAAAATATCCATTTCCTTGGAGAAGTCAAGTTGCAAACAAAGGAAGTACCTGTTACATAAGAAGTTTCCAAAACGACACGAAAGCATGCAGTCTATGAAGTCCACCAGGAAAGCCTGGATCATGAAAAAGCAGAAGTTACTAGAAAGAAAACTATGCAACAAAACAAAAACAAAAAATAGTCAAGGGTACATACCGCAGAGAACTGAAAAGCAAAAGGATAAATCCGCAACAATTGTGAAACGCAATCAACCCACTGAAACAAATACAAGACAGTAAGCTCACAATAGAAAAAAACTAAACATAACCGTTAAACAAAACGTAGATTCGAATTTAAGTAAACCACCAAATAGAAAAGACAGAGATAAAACAAAATAGCCATCTAAACTCCAAACCTAAACATGCAACTCTCAACATAATAAAAGACAAGCTAAAATTGGAAGCAAGTTATATTTTATGCATGGATAACAGTAATGTCATTAAATGAATTTGAGTACCACTTGTGTCACTAATATAATACTATAATCAAATGAACCAACCATCATTAAGTGAATAATACAAATCATCCTTAAAAACGAAGAGCACCCCAATAGTTAAATATAATTTAAAAACATGAAATACCAAAATAAACTTAGTAAAGATTGTCCAGCACGTAGTCAGTGTTGGAAACAGGTCGTACAATTTGACACTTGAAGCTAGAGAAGCGTATGCACTTCGTAGCTTATAACAATAACATTAAATTTGTCGTGATATCAGCCTTGAAAGAATTAGCGTAATGTACTGCAGTCTCAATTTGAATGAGAGATTTCTAGGATGGAAAAAATAAGAGAGAAAACATAACCCAGTTAATTAATTATAAACTACTTAGTTGATTACATGATTCCTGTAAACAGCAGAACCCTTCTTCCCCACTAGGTGGGTTGGGTAATGCCTAAACCATTTAAATCTAAATCTTAAATAAAAAACAAACCTGCAAAAAAATAGGAGAATAGTTGTTATGTGAGTGAGATGAAGCAGGAGGTTGTGAAGAGAATGTTCCTGATGACTGGCGCACGGGTGATGGTGCTAAATTTCCAGTTGAAGGCTGCCTAGTTAACTCGAAAGGCACATTGCCAGTTCCAGATACAGATGGCATTGCCACCCGATCAGAAAATGGATGACCAAAGGCAAGCCAGTCTTTTTCAATGAGTGCCTGAATCAGGAAGAAAAATGTGAAGCAAAACTAAATAGCACAGTTGATTCATTTCCCAACATGTTATGAAAAATATAAGCGTTAGTTGACAGTGTGAAATGAATTTAAATGTGAAATCAAATAGTAAATAAAGTTAAAATTGCTAATCTTCTTATTCAACTAGTTGAGTAATGCCAATCCCTTACCTGAAACCCTGAGAATGTCCTATAATACGGATCAAGCAACAAATTAGCAAGGGAAACCAACTGGCTTGTCCTATCCCATCCATCACTGCCAATAAACAAAAGGGAGAGGGGGGTGGGAGGTGTAAGGTGGCTAGATACCAAACAAACTTAAATATTATTTGAAGGAATAAATTGACAATTCTTAATCTAGATTACACAGTTTTGGACTAGTGACAAAAGACATCATAGCACCTGCAATGCACAAGAACAGACGCATTTTCCATAGCAACACGAGCAGCTATCCACGCTGCTCCAGCCAATACATTCTGAACATGTAGTAACCATCCACTCTCTCCAAGGGTCGATACTGATGCAGACATACTACTTAGATTGCCACCACCCCACGTTGACTCACCTTGTCTCTAAATAAACTCATAAACCAGATTGACAATAAATAAACAAAAAATTAAAAACAGATTGTGTTAATTGATCGCAGCAAGGTTAGCCTGGTCAATCATAAGCTAAGGATATTCAACTATTGATTAAATCAACTTTGGAAAGAAAAATGATCTGATCCAATCAATTATTGATTCACCATCCAAATAGTTTGGTTTAATATTTAAATTCAATTTAATCCAATCTAATTAAAAGCTGTTTGGATTGGATCAGGTTTCAGTATTACTTTCATTTTTTTCTGAAGAAAGTATTAAAACATATTAAGATAAATAATAAACGCAATAAAAGTATTAAATATATTAAGTATCTCACATACAAGTCATTATAGTAGTATAACTTTTCAAATATATACAATTAAAAAAATCCACAACTTGAAAAATGATATTACGTTTATGTAGTTTTGCTCAAGTAGTTACTAAAAAATAGGTAATATGATAATTTTGTAAATATATGTGGTCTCATAAATTTACATATATCTACATATTTATAAGTTTGTTTTTGGATTAGATTGATTTTCCAAATCAAATCCAAAGTCCAGTATAAAAAAGTTGTTTCCTTTGCAGTTTTTTGGACTGGGTTTAATTGGGGATTAAATTGGTTTACGAACAATCCTAAATAAAAAAATTCAGTAGAAGAGTATTAAAAGTGTCTTAAACATAAATTCTTAAATTGTTTACCATACTGGATGTTTTGTAGAGGTATAAGAGAAACACTTTCCTCCATACATCATGATTCACGTTTAAACTTTTCAAAATCAACCAAAAACCACAATGCAAAAATTATCAAAACAGTTTACTAACAGCTCCAAAGCATGTTATTTTAATAGCCAACTCAATAAATCCAAAGCCACACCAGATAAAATGTTCCAACATTCACAGACTAACCAAAAAGGAGGACATTCCATCTGATGACGTTCTGCCATGCGTGTCCATGCATTCTCGGAGCCGAACAAAGCTGTCTCTCATCGCATGGATGTTTTCTATCCCCAAAAAGACTAGCTGGTAATATAAATAAGAATTTAGGTACTTTGGAAATAAAGTCAAACTTATAACTATAACTGAAAAACAAAAATCACAACTGGTCAATTCAAGCTTATTACAACCTCAGATTGAAAATAGTTTGATGATGATTCTGAACCACCTCCCATGGCCCCATTAGCCAATGCATTTTTTCTTGGCCGTGCATCAACAATATATAACTTTCTGAAATATAATTTGGAAAAAAGATTCAAAAATTGCACCAAATTAATCCACAACCACCACCCTCCTTGCACACATAAAAAAGATACACCATGTATTCTGTCAGTAAAATTATTTATGCAAACGCAAGGACTTAGCCTTCACCTATTGACTTAAATTTTAGGACCTAATCCCTTATAGGGATGGCAATTTTGCACATCATTCAAGAATCCTCATGAGAAATGCACCACTTGGGACCAAAAAACTCAGGAGCTGTTTTTAGCTAGCAAGGATGGGAAAGGAAATTGATTAAAAGCTTGACAAAGGTACAAGGAAAGGTAATTCTTTATTTATTAATAGGGAATATCTCCCTATGAGAAAAGACACAAGTTTCAGATATTTCGAGTGGTCTGATCCACTCCTTACAACTTTCTAATCCTCAAAAGTCCCCTAACAGTATCCCATTAAACCCCTTTTAGGTAACAGATTTCTAGTTTACAACAGAACACTCCCTTGAATGGGCCCATCCATCTATCAACACTACCCCAAAGCTTTCACCTTGTCCTCAGGGGGAAATAAGGGAAAACTGTTCTAGGTGGCTGCAAATGTCCCCATGAATCCTCACAAGAAGGTAGATGCTCCCAATGAATGAGGACTTCTGCTGCTCATTGATCTCCGTACCTAACAGCTAACACATAGCTGCTTGGGGTTGTAAATCTCATATAAAATCGCCAACTTCCATCCTTCTTTATTACCAAAAGCATAGGACTCGAATATGGGCTAATGCTCGGTCTAATGATTTCTGCCTGCAGCATCTGATTCACTAGTTTCTCAATTTCAGTTTTCTGATGGTGTGAATACCTATATGGTCTCAGGTTCAGAGTTGAGCCTCGTTCCTTCAAGGTATGCTCTTGTCTTCTTGAAGGAGGCAGCTCTTCAGGCTCTTTTAAAACCCCTGGAAACTCCTTCAATAACTGCTGCACACTTTGTGGACATGGCTCCTTTGGTTGATCTTTCAATCAGTCATATAGCAATCTATTAAAAACCCCAGCTCTACCTCCTCCATCATTTTTACTGTTGATTGAACTGAAATAGAAGCCTTGTAGCGAGATTGATCCCCTCTAAGCACAACTACTTGCTGTTCTCTCCAAAATTTAAGTGTGAGCTCCTTGAAGTTGGCTTTGATCTCCCCCAATTCCTCTTACCATTCCAGCCCCAACACTATATATATCAACTCCATGTAAATCAAACAAATAGATACTATTTGATTCTCTAACCCTAGTAATTGGACATTTCAGAGCACATGCCCTTGTCCGCTGCATATGGTTGTCTCCTACCTTCCCCCAATATGTGGGGGTGTCTGAAATATGAATTCTCGTCTTTTTCACTAGGTTCTGTGAGATAACATTATGAGTGACACCACTTTCACTTGTTGATTACCTAGAGTTCCCCATAATATAAAATCCTTCTAAGGTTTGAAGTCAGCCATACTTTGAAGATCCAGCTGCACCAATGTTGCCTCTCCTACTTCTTACAAGTTCTCTTGTGGCTCCTTTGTTTCTTATAAAAGCATTACCCTCTACTGCTTATTCTTACACGCATGTTCTAGTGAGAATTTCTCATCATAGGTAAAACACAACACCTTCCTCATTTTCTCTTGATATTCTGCCTCCGAAAGCTGTCGAATCCTTCTACTCTGTTCCTCTAATCATGGGCCCATTGGCAAGATTGCTGTACTGTTGACCAGTTCCAACCTGATTTCTCCATGTGGTTCTTCTGGTCTCATGATTACCAAGGTTTCTTGATCCTGTACTACGGCCTGCTAATTGCAACAATATTTCATCTTGGAGTCTTGCACTCTCATGGCCTCTTGGACAGATTGAGGCTTGTGCAACCTTACAGCTTCTTCCAATAAGAATATGCTAAGGCAATGGAATTGTCTACTCCTGCTAAAGCTAGCAATTCATCAAATTCCTCCAAATATGTCCCTAAATAACCTGAGTGCTTCAATCTTGCAAAATCTGACAATGGGTCCTCATGATTTCCATAATCACCCTGCATCATAGAATCTGTCTCCACTGCAAAGTCTTCTTTCTTTTATTACTTATATTGTGCCTCATCCATGCAAGGGCTTTTCCTTCCACAGCCAGAGGCTTATGAAATGTTGCACACATTCGGCTCTTCAAAGTCAATATCGATTCCCATCAAAAGCTGGAAAAGGAAGTTTTGTGGTTTCTTCCCTCCACCTATGATGTCAACTCCCTTCTACATCTTCCCCAAACGATGGCATCTTGATTCTTTTTCTGGTTCAGCTATATTTTCTGGGTCATTAATTCTTTCATCATTTCTTTCAAATATTTCATTCCCTTCTCCAGCACTTCAAATTGCTGCTTGTTCAAGTGTTGTGCCACATCATGTTGGCCTTGCATCTCCATTTTTGACTCATGATCCTTGTTTGACACCATGAGGTGTCCACCAATTTTGTATCAAGAAAGCTCCAACAATATGCCACAACTAGCACCCACAATTCTCAGATCAACTGCTATGAATACCAATTTATAGAACTCTTGAGAAAGATTGAAGGAGAGGGAGTTCTTTATTGATTAATAGAAAATGTCTCCCTACAAGAATGACACAAGTTTCAGATATTTCATGAAGACTGGTCCACTATTTACAACTTTCAATTCCTCAAAAGTCCCCAACAGTATCGCATTAAACCCCTTCTATAGCAAGTAAAAATTTACCCATTATAACAGAAAACTACCCTTAAATGGGCACATCCAGTAGCGGCCCAACTTCGTCCTCCTAAAACACAATTGCTTCATCACAGTTCTGCTGTCAGAAACACCCCCTGAAAGAGATTTAGGTATAGGTGTGGGGAGTACAAGGTTCAAGTAATGACTATTAAACTTCCCTCACTGCCCTTTTTTCATTATCTCGGTATAATATCTAAGCCCCTCTATGAACAAGTGATCCGAATTCAACTCTTACTGCCCATTCTTTATAATTATGTTAAAATTCACCAAGGTAAAATGATTATGAACGTTGTCCGCATAACAGTGTAAAAAAATAACATTAATATACAAATCTTACCTCCTTGTGCCATTATCCAGTTTGGTGCAGAGTGCAGCCACAAGTTTTTCATCTATGTTGCTGGGGGAAAGAATATGTAAAAGCTTGTTCACTGTTCTGTTCATTTCATTTATTATAAAAGAACTTATTCAAAGAAAGCACCAAGCAGAAAAAGGAAAAGAAACCATATGATCTAAACAAAGTCCCCTCTCCCCCAAAAATAAAGAAAAAGAAAGAAATCACTACACCATAACAAACAAGAAAAACATTCAAGCATTTCTAATTTCATATTTGATAAAATAGGTAGCATTACCTCCTCGTGTTCATAAGACCAACTAAGGGTTGAGAAGATCGAGCAACAACTGCTCCTGTCACTATAGCCATCGTTTCCATATAGTTAGAAGGCCATCCTCATTTTACAATAACATAAAGAAATAAAAAAGAAAGGAATGTAAAAATAAGAAAAATAGAACTGTGTCAGCTATTAAACAAAACCTATTCTGCACATACATGGATGACACCATGAAACTACAGGTAGTCTGCATCTTGCACGGAAGCTGCATGCCTGGAGCACTTCATCATCACTAGCATTAAGACAATTCATGATAAACAAATAGTGGTTCGGTGGTCTCAAGCTTGTCAAAACTACAGCAAAAGTAGAAACTTTGGCCCTCAATAAATTACCTAATGATCTTTGGAACAACCAAAGCAAATGGATAACTCGGGCACATTGTATAATTGGAATTCACGCTACTTATTCTCCATAGGTCATTTGACAAGGTGAAGGACCCATTTTCAATTATATCAACTGTTGCATGATAAGAACCTAGGCAAAGAAGCCGACAATATTCATCCAGTAAACGGACCAGTGGAGTAGTATTCTTAAACCTTGAAGGTCCTGATGCAAAAGCATAAAGATCCCATAATCTTGTTGGCTTTGTACACCTCAGTAACGCATCAAATACCACACGTCTCTGTAAGATTTTCATAATCAGCATTAGATCCCAAACATGTCATGAGAAAATAAAAGCATCGACTCAAATATTCATTACAACATCCTCACTGGGTTACAACACTTTTAAAGTGAAGTGCAACCAACTACTTAACATATTTTTGTAAGTTGTAAAATATTATGTCTTAAAATCCTTTAGATATGTTAGAATCTTATAGATATTATATTAGGATCAATTAGATTGTTCCATATTATGTTTTTAGCCTAAAATAGTGAAATTGAATATAGCTAGTCAGTGGTCTAAACACACAGATTTCATCATATGTCTTCTCGGTTTCTCTATTCTCAAGATGACATCAAGAGCCTAATGAGAAAGAAACCTTAATCCTTGTCCCTGTGGGCCCACTGCTCATTGGTGTAAATTTTTTTCAGATGCTGTGTATGTTGCTTGATTTTTATTTTTTTCATCTGTGCACTATTCATGGCGGTAGCACTGTTCATGTTGGAATCACTCTTCATGATGGAACACTGTTCACGACAGAAGTACCGTTCACACCATAAGTAATGTTGACACACGAGCAGATAAAATGCAGGTGCAGGGAAGTCTTCAAGTCAACATTAGAAAGAATGTCCCAATGTAGTATTGATGTACTTGGGCAGTCTTTGGTTTTGTAATCCCATTTGTTTGGGAATTAGTGTATGATTATGTGTACAGATACAATGATGCATCTATATATTAATGATAGGGGGTCGTTACAACTATCCGTGTTCAGGGATCATCCACAAAGACTTGATGAATAGAATCTATCATACATGTGTCTCAGACTCGTTAATGCCGCTCTCATAGGATTCTTTTGTGGCATGTGAAGAATTTGTGTGTTTGTCTGTAGTTCGCTTCTAAGATGAAGCAATGAGGAAAAGAGGAACTAAATTAATAAATTAGAAGTATTAATAGCCTTTCAGTTGAAAAAGATTTCAATGACATTTTGACCATTTTATAAACATGGACTTTAGAAGGGTTAATAAAACCACGCTAAATCTGAGACTTGCACCATTTTACAAGGTCACAACTATGGTATTGGTTGAATTACCTGTTTTGTAAATGGCCTGAAACTGAAGACTAAAATTCGCATATCTTTTCCTGCACAAGTGAATCAAGACAGTATTTTCTTTAATATAAAAATTGATTTAAGACAAAATACCACAAAGTTTGAGAATAAAGAATCCTCCTTAATAAAAAAGGAAAAAGTAACAAATAAACTATTGCAGAAAATAAAGTAAATCCCTTGAAAAGACCATGCACTTTACACTAAACAGACGCAACACATAATGCACACATATATTTACTAATTAAAAAATAGATACACCGACAGAAAGAATGACTAGCAATTATGACATCAAAATTTAAAGATATACCAAATTTTAGCCCAAACTCAAAACAACATTGTACCAAATAAAGGTGGTCATTACAATATAACACTTTCAAATGATAACTACAGTTAATGTATATATCAAAAGAGTAAGCAATTTATGGTGCCCATAAATTCTGAATACATGCGTATTTGTTAAAAATATAAAACCAACTTTGTGCCTTCCCCCTAATAACTAAATTTATTAGGAAAGTTGGTGCTTGACATGGAATCAATCCTTCTATGATCAACTAGCCATGATTGCAATCTTTGTCGACCCCATTCTTCTAAAAAATGTTGAATTTAGCACAAAGTAGAGCAAATTTATGTGTCTTGACAAGAAGTTCCTTTATAAATTTTGTTTGTGCCATAACAAGATTGCCATTGGACTGCGGATGAACTTCAATGGCAAGAAAATAATCCAAAGCCCCTAGTTGTTTGAGGAAAAAGACAGTCGAGTTTATGAATAAGCCATTAAACAAGGGAGGTAGAGTTTCCTTTTATAATAATGTCATCAACATAAACATGTAAACATGTAAACAATACAATTTTGTTAAGGATATATAAATAAAGATGATTGAATTTACTATCCAAACTACAATAAGGTAGTTTTTAGTCTCAAACCAAGCTCAAGGAGCTTGCTTGAGACTATAAATAACTTTGTGAAGTCAACAAATAAGAGAAGTGTCTTTATTTTCAAAACATAGGGGATGAGTCATGTAAACCTCTTCATCAAGAAACCCATTAAGAAAGACATTGTTTACATCTAGTTGGAACAAAGACCATTTGTAAGTAACAACAAGAGTTAGAATAATGCGAATGGAGACAGGTTTTCCAACCCGAGAAAAAATCTCATTAAAGTCAAAACCATATTGTTGATTGAAACCTTTAGCCACTAATCTAGCTTTGTATTTATGATCAGTCTCATCAGGATTTTCCTTAACACGAAACACCCATTTAAAACTAATAGCATGACGATTAGAGGGAAGAGGAACTAAATATCAGGTTTTATTCTTTTGAAGAACAAGAAATTCATCCTGCATAGCAGCTACCCACTTTGTATTATGTAAAGCTGATTTGACATTCTTTGGTTCCAAGGTAGTTAAAATCAATATTTTATTTAAGATCAGAAAGGGTAGTATAAATCGAAAATCGAAGATCGTAACACGAATCATAGATCCTACACAATTTATGAAATTAATATATATATCATATATTTAATTTATCAAATTAATATATGCCATATATTTAAATTTTAGAGGTGGACATTCTTATTAATTTTGATTGAGGCTTCCTTCATAGTGCATTAATTTTTTTATGTGAATGGGATGGGATTGGGTTGGTTTATTGGGCTTTAAGATTTATGATTGTGGGGTTGGTGAAGACATTTAACCTAATTATACTTAGGTCACACGTGGAAGCTGCACACTGCTCCACTTACTTTACACCAATGACCCAACCACCATACCCCTCAACAGTGTTGCAGCTTCCACACCACACGACGACATCGTAGCTGTCGCACCCACACAACGGCATCGTAGTTGTCGCACCCACACGACGGCATCGTAGCTGCTGCACTCACATGGCTGTGTCGCAGCCATTGCACCCACGTGACGGAGTCGCAACCTCCGCACCCACACGATCGTGTCGCAACCATTGCACCCACGTGACGGAGTCACAACCTCCACACTTACGCAATGGCGTTGCATCTGCCGCACCCAGGCTACAATGTCGCAACCACTATAAGTGCAGAAGATGCACAAGCAAACTCTGAGAAAATCATCATGTTGTTGTGAGTTTCGATCTTCACCGACAATCCTACGATCCATTGAAAATGCGATCTAGATGACACACAAACTCGAAGAAGGTGCCAAAGATCGTAGAAACACACAATCTTACGCTTCAACTCACGATTTTGACTACCTTGTTTGGTTCCACATTGACAATTATGCACGATGGATTAATTATGAGTCGAATAATATCGGACTTAGGGCGAGTATGCATAAGATGAGTATTAAGAGGACGTGTACTAATGGGGTTTTTTAAAAATAGAAGTGGAGGGAAAGGAAGATGGAGATTCAGTAGATGAGGAAGACAAAGGTAGGTTTGAAACAAGAAGAATAGAAGTTGAAATGTGTGTTTATTACATGAAGATGACAAAAACAATAAAGGAAAAGGAAACATTTACTCACTAAAAAAAACATCTTTATTTGATGCAAATTAACCAAAGATGAGTTCTTAACTCAGAATGCAAATTTTGTGCCTTTGTCTTGATTTGATGAAGAAAATATGCATGTATCTTGTCCCAAGCTTCATATGAATGAACAAATCAAAGCACACATGACAAGATACTAGTAGAAAGAGAAGACTGAAGTCATGCAAGAAACATTTGATCTTGTTCCCAAGAAAGATATTCTGAATTGACATTATTAACATTCGGATTTATTTTATAAGCAACCAAGTCGGAATTTAGGAGCAACCACAAAGTGAAGCAAACGATGGGCCTTAATTACAGGTTCAACTTGTTGGCACCATAGCAAAAATAATTATCATCAAACTTCTCTGTAATTTGATGGGAGAAAGTGACAGGTTTAGGCAACGGAGAAGAAGGACAAGAATTTGTTGAAAGAGGACAAGAAGAATTTGGATCTATGAAAGCCATAGAACAAAAAAGATTTGGCAGATGCCAAAAAAGGATCAACTAGCTTTGATATCATAATAAATTTGTCAAGAATTATCATTCATTACTAAAGAAAGTTACAAGGAGTGAGTAAACGTCTTACAGAACCCATATACTTATATGAGGAGAGAAGTATTGCAATAGGTAGCAAAATAGTGGTAACAAACTACAATTGTCAAACAATTATAATAATAAATAGTTTTTCAGAAATAATATAAGAAAAAACATTATGCATATCTCTAACAATATTGATCTAGAGAAGCTAATGCATACCAATCACCTGGAGCAGTCTCGGTGCTGGTGTCTTGTCTACTTGACGACTATTTGACTGAACCTTTACAGCCTAGATTTGAAAGGGAGAAATACATGAGGTTCCAGATAATTGCAACAAATGAAAAAATCAAGACCAAGGTAGGCAAAATACAACCCTTCGTGCATAAGTCATAACACCATATAGTTCAAAATTTTCACAACATTAATACATATGAGAAAGAATATAGATAATCATTCTTGTGGCTGAGCTCATGAGCATATCAACTCAAGACACAAATCCATTTCATTGAAAAGTCAATCAAATCAAAAAATTCAGAACTATTCAAAAAAATCATTTTATAGAACTGACCAATCAGAATCTAAAAAGTCCTATTTTCCATTCATGATTCAGTCTAAGTACATTATGCTCATTTGTGGTAAAAACAACAATTAGTAATGATTTCAAGATTTTATGTATTCTACAACCAGTGGCAAAATTCTAATGTAAAATAATATGAAAGTGTGTCCTCGTTCATGTGTGAAACTAAAAAGGAAGCAAAAGAATAGAACAAAATAAGTGAAGAAATAAATGGGATTAAAATGGAGGCTGAAACAATTCATACAAAAGGAATATGCATGGTCACTCCAAAATTATTATTTAAATTTCATTTATGTATCTCTGATTATAGTCTATTAGTATGTCAAAATAATTTGTCAATGTATAAGTGAGGCAAAGAGAAAGTTTGGATCGATCTAATGCAACATAACCAAATTAGATAACAATATACACACAAAAGAAAATAGTTTGCAGAAAATATTGCATGAACTTACTATCTTGTTAAACTTCTCAATGGTTGCTAGTGGTATTGTTCCAAGGGCAATAACTTTTCTAGTTCCCTCACTCTATAAAATGCAAGGAAATCAGAGAATAAAGTCAATACATCTTATTTACAAATAACTAGGCAGGTAACAAAATTTCCCAAAAAACAACTGAAGTTGATGAATAAAAAGGCACACCGATCAGCAACAGAGCTCAGGAGCTTAATTAGCCGACAGTACTCAATAACAAAAACTAAGAGTTTGACACGAGAATAATGTTCCATAAACTAATCATATAATTCATATTCTATACAATTACAGATGTTACTGTTCAGCACATGAATCAAAAGTTAGATTCTGCAAGTGCTAAACATATGTGATTTAGAAAAGAAGAGAAACACAGCTATCAGATTTTAATTGATTAATCAAGTGATACCAACCAGCTTGCAATCAAAATAAACACTTCCTTTTCAGTTAGTGACTTCATTTTTTCCTCCCTCTCTCCATTTAATATAACACGCCAGACAATTCTTTTTAAAGTAGAGCTGTTTTTCATGGCAGTTTCTCAGTTTTTATCCGCCTTTAACATCACAATACCCCAAAAGACAGGGTCCTTCCTTCGTCAAATCTCCTCTCCCCTGCTTCCCCAAACTCAGGATGCTCTCATTCCACTGCCCCTCTCCTGTCTTCTTTTTCTAATCATTTTACATATTTCATACAATTGATATTTTATTTCTTAGTTCTTTTATGGAAAAAGTATGTTCTTGATTCCTGTACTTTTGGTTAAATTTGCTTTTAGTTCAAAATCAAACTTAGTTAGAAGTGCGGGGACTCTAAAACACTATTTTTCCCTTTCTTACTTTGAATAAGAAGACACTGACCTTGTCAGAACATAACTAAGTCTAACACCAGTGAAAATTGATGTTGGTGCTCTTAAGATTGGAATTGGTCATTGCTAGAAAGGTAATCGCTAACTGTGGACAGGCTCACACACATACATTAGATATAGTTTCAAGCTTGATGATCAGGTCAGGTGCTATGAATAGTACCAAGAGCATAAGTATTTGAAGCTTGAAGGATTTTAGGGAATAAAGAAGGAATGATCAACAAAAAGTTTGGTAAGGATATGACAGCTAAGGAAATTTGGTTTTGGTAATGTCGAAATTAAAACACAGATTTTTAATAATATATATATATATATATATATATATATGGTCATTGCTAGAAAGGTAATCGCTAACTGTGGACAGGCTCACACACATACATTAGATATAGTTTCAAGCTTGATGATCAGGTCAGGTGCTATGAATAATACCAAGAGCATAAGTATTTGAAGCTTGAAGGATTTTAGGGAATAAAGAAGGAATGATCAACAAAAAGTTTGGTAAGGATATGACAGCTAAGGAAATTTGGTTTTGGTAATGTCGAAATTAAAACACAGATTTTTAATAATATATATATATATATATATATATATATATATATATATATATATATATATATATAAGAACAATCAAGTGTTTCCAAAACTTCTTCCTTACCAAGTGGTGAGGCCCAAATAAAAATTCAAAAATTTTTCAACCACTAGCAAGCCATGATTTTGTCAACCAAAATCCTTAATTATCATCATATATTAATATAGTCTTTCGCATGGGTATTAAGTCATATTTCTAGGTTGCAAGCATTCCACCATCATTAATTCAAGAATGCTCCAGCGTCATAGTACCTCATAAAAAATAATTCAGGAGTTGCGTAGAAAGTATTAGAAAAACAAACTTACCAGAAAAATAAGACGGAAATTTGTTACCATCAATGTGCCCGCATCATCTATATTAACAAGAACAACACCATGTCCCTGAAAATAAACACCAATACCAACTTAGCGTCATACCATATATTCAATCTTGATATATGTGAATTTAAAATATTAGGACTTGTATTAAAAGTTAGCAAAAGGTTCAAACTAAAGATAAATTATTTGTTATGTGATATGATTTAAATATCTGTTAGGCTACTCCAAATATTGTCAATTGATTTTATATTGGAACCTTAACATGGTATCAAAACCAAAATTTAACTTCTTTTTGGTTGTTGTCACATGACAAGAGTTGTCATTTCATTGTAGTTCAAAAGTACCAACTGCCTAGTCCGACAGGTTTCATTGAATGTGACGTGTTAGAAGTTTGACATTGTTTGTCTCATGTCATTTGGTATAATGTAAATACCTATTAGGTTACTTCACATATTGTCAATTGATTTTATATTGAAATCTTAATAAAATCATATTTTATCAGTTCACAAATTATTAAACTCTCTTTTTCCTTTCCAAGTGTTGCATCACTTACTATGCATCCTATATATTTTCAAAAATTCATGGTAATCTAATTAATTTGTCGAGCATGCATCTCAAGCTCAACATGATTTCAAAGCAAAAAGCAATTGCCTTTAAATTAAACCAAGAGAAATAAACTAAAATAAAGCCTAATAAAAGTACCTGGAAGATAAATATACTAAACTAAATATTAAATTTTATCTTTATCATTGCAAAAGTCATATTGAATAAAGGTAATACATAGTTAGTCAGTTATCCATCTATTGACGTAAAGGTAAATGGTTTTTGGCTGATTTTTCAGATTTAATTAATAATAACCATCAATTTGTTTCAAAATATGTGCCACTTCAGAAATCAATAAAGGGTTTATTATTTTATTTTCAAAAGATAACCTTATTTATTAGAATCTCACCTATATCCTTAATTACTTTGGCACTGATGGAATATGTTAATTTATTGCAATGGGTTGTCGGGCCTTAAGACCATTTATCATACTATGTATTGATATCTTTTTGGCTCAACCAATGATAGATGAATATATTTTTCACACAAAACATGGTATCAAAAGCCTAGAGGTTCTGAAATTTTATTTTTCTCTAACAAACTTCCTACGAGTGTTTCTCTTCTACATTGTTGACCAATGCCAGCTGCCATTGACTGCCACTGTGATTTTGCAAACAACTTTTCTAGTGTTTCCTGCACCGTTTGGATTATTTTTTCCCAATCTACACATGGTCCAACTTGTTTTTGTACACAAGCTGACATGTGCTCAACACGGCTCTTTTTTTTGTGTGCTGAATTCTTTGTCAGGCATGACAGAGCATTTAGTGACATCTCACACAACAACTTCCACCACCTTGCTCACCAAACATAACTCAATCCATTATTGTGCTTGGTTCATTGCCCAGGAACACATGCACCTTGTTCGTCCAATGTCTTTCTCCTTTGCTTTGGTTGAACATTGGCGCTTCCTCCACCAGCACTACAGTATGAACCTAGTGATTCTCATCCAACTATGATTGCTCTACTCTTCCGACACTATCTTCCAAGCTTAATCTTCTTATTGTTGTTTGGAAAGGTTTACACTCTAGAAGCAATCCTTCTCTATGTTAACATTAATTTTCATTTTTTATCTCCATTGCATTACACTGGTCTTTCATCTTTGTCACTTGTGTCTATTCCTACACAAGGTCATTGTGCCCTCTCTCACCATGGTTGGCACCAAGTAATGCTAGAAAAGATGTGTGCCCCACAAAGTAGGGGTACTTGGGACCTCACCCCTCTACCACCTAGCAAAACAATGGTAGGTTGTTGTTGGATTTTCATTGCCTTGAAAGATAGACAGCTTCAAAGCTTGCTGGTAGAGGATATACACATATCTATGGTCTTTGACTACATTGATACTTTCTCTCCTATGGCTAAAATGAACTCAATTTGATTCTTCTTTTCCATGATTGCTCTTTGTCATCGGTCTCCATATCAGTTTGATATTAAAAATGCTTTCATACATGGTAATCTTCTAGATGAAATTTACATAGAGCAACCTCCCAATTTTATTGCTCAAGAGGAGTCTTCAAACCTTGTTTGTCACCTCCATAAATCTCTCTATGAACACAAACAATCTCTAGAGCATGGTTTGACAAATTCAACATAGTTGTCCAACAATTGTCTTCTATCACCACATAGATAAAGGAAGTATCTACTTAATTGTGTATCACTATTGATACAAGTGGAGATTACCATAGTATCCCGTAGCTAAAGCAACACGTTTACCATCATTTTCAAACCAAGGATCTTGACATACTTGGGTGTTTCTTGAGGATAGAAGTTGCACAATTCAAAGATAGTACTGTGACTTCTCAGAGGAAGTAGGTAATGGACATTTACAGAATTTTCATTTGGATATTAAATTGGCAGATTGTTCACAGGTCATACGTGTCAAACTCAGCATGCAGTGATTCCACAATGTATTGCAGATTCACACGGTGTATCATAAACAACAAAACTACTAACCCTAATCAAGTTTTCCAGAAATTCAGTAAGCTATATCGTTGGGATTAATACAGAGGTGACAAAAACAACAGAACTACTAACTCTAATAAAGTTTTCAAGGAATTCAGTAAGCTATCTCGTTGAGTAAAGAACATAAAAAGTTTCTATACGACTTCAGTTTCTGAAACGAATCTTTGATAAGCTAGCACCGAACCCTACATGAACGTCTGACAAATCCCCAATCACCCTTACCATTCTCAGTCCTATTCTCATTCCACACACTTTTACAGACTCAACACACACGATCAAACCAGACTAATTAATTCCAAAAGAAAACTTCTAAACAATAAAACCACAGCCGCTCCACAAATCACACTGGAAACAACCTAGATTACCAGAACAAAAAAAGGACAAAACGGCTCTAAAATCTTTAAATTAATTAAACAACATAGAGAGTTTAAGGAAATGTTGCATACTTCGGCGATAACTTGCTCCGCCTCGATCAAGAAATCGAGATTCCCGTGCGGGACGAAGCGCGAAATTGGCTGCAAATAAAATAAGGAGAAAGGTGAATAACAGATTGAATCGAGAAAAGAAGAGGGTTAAAATTAAGGGAAGAAAGGAACCTCAATTTTGGTCCATTCGAGGACGTCCCAGCTTCCGGTGCCTTCCATCTTGAAGGAGTCGGAGACATCCCTGAGAGAGGTTGTTCGAGTGGCGCGGTGCTTCGGCACATCCATGCCTGTGAAAGCGGAGGAGGTTGGACTCCGGCGAGTGATGTGAGAGGAGAAGAGGAAGAGAAAGGGTTGCGTCAAATCGAAGAATACCAAACGTTCAAGCGGGTTATGGTGTAGTGTGGTAAGTATCGTGCTCCCGCGTCACATTAATAAGTTGTGTTGTGCCAAACCAAAACTTGTAGGTGCTTCTACCTCCCCAGTGTTCCAAGCCAAGCTATCGTTATCTTTCTCTTCTTAATCATCCTTTCATATTTTCATTTCCACTACTATTATCACATAACCCCCTATCTCTAATTTCTTTCAATAAATAATTCTTTTTTTAAATATATTTTTCTTTTTTAACTATTTTTCACAACTTCTCATAATAATTAACAATCCAATTATATTCTGGGTTTATTCACAAAAGTTTCTCATCAAATCAATTACTTTCCCCCGTAGTAAGATAAAAATATTCCGTAGTGAATAGAAATATAACTCATGAATAAAATGACATTGTTTTCAATAAATTGGTAATTAATGATGTGTCAAATAGTTGAATAAAAAATAAGACTTACAATGCTTTGCTTCTATTTTTGTTTAAATATCAATTCGAAACACGCATTTCCTCTATTCCCATTGTTAAATAAAGTTCACGATGAGAGATTTAGTTTTTAAAAAAATGTGAAAGTTATTTATGAATGATTAAAGTTATAATTATCAAAATCACGTTAGAAACAAAAAATAAATAAGAATCTCGTTCTTTAACACTATAATAAAGTAAAATATTGCTTAATGTATAATATATATACTAAACAAAGTACTAAAGTTCATCCAATTTATTTTATATAATGATGACCTTTTAAATTAAGAAACTATTTTAAGTATAAACTGATTCTAAATCAAAATAAATAGATTCGTTAAAAAAAATAGTAAAGATTACGAAGTATTTGGAGGAAACCATAAACTAATGTATGTTTCGAAATACATTACCACCCAGTATAAATCATATCAAATGGTTATTTAACCTCAAGTTAGAGGAAAAATTGAAGAGTCTCAATGTTCAATTACTACTCACAGAACATAGGAAAGCAGATCATGAGCAGAAGTCCAAAAGGATGGAAACATAAACATATCGGATGTGTTTTCCTTATTAAAGCTTTTACTCACTAACTTGTTTATGGCATTGATTGAAATTTCAATTTTAGAGTCTAAATTAAGAAAAACAAAGCACCTCCTGCAGCACAGAACATAGCAGAAATCCAAAAAAGTGGAGAATGAACATAGCTGAAATATGTTTTTTTTTTTTTGCTGATAAAAGCCTTTACTGATAAACTCTATCATTTATTATTGTTTTCTGGACAAATGCAATATTCAGCTACAGTCAACAGACATAGCACACCTCACAGAGTTATTCAGTTTTTCATTTTTCTGAAGCCTTAAATATAAATAGAACATTCGTAAGTGTCGACTGTTTCTTTTCTTATGTGGTGTCATTTATATGATGGTGGTGATAGAGAATGTGGTTGCTTTAATTAATAAGAAGCACATGCTCAAGTGTTTTTGATTTGTGTAAAGCTCTTGGAGGAATTGCATACATTTCAGCTTTGAAACATTCATTTGATAATTTTCTTAGCTACATAATTTTTCTGCATCAACATTCTCAACTTTGTTGAAATTCACTGATTTTGGTGACAAGCAATTGTTGTACACTGTCGAAATCTTCCTTTTAGAAGCATTAAATCTGACTTAAGAGCCTATATCAGATGCTAAGGTAATATGTTTCTCTCAGTAAACAAAACTTACAGTTTATATGATTTTTTTTTTTTTTCAATTAAGTTATTTGGGATTTAGTTTTGATCTACGGCCAGTTATTATTTTCTTTTAACCTTATTATTTAATTATGCATTTTCCACATTATTGAAGGAGTGTTACTCTGGAAACTGCTTAAAAAGTCAATCTCTTACCAGTCAATACAAAAGTGGACAATAAAAACCTTCTTGATTGTAGATCAAAATTGAACTCAATAATTTATCAGTCCTATGGCATGCTTCTGAAATGTTGATCTCCCTTTGGTGTTCTAAGTTTCGATGAAGTCCTGGAGTGGTTAAATGTATGATTTTTATATTCTTATTTCAGTGATGCTCTTAAAAGCATGTTTGTGCCAGTGAAAGTTTACCTAATGAATGCTCTTAAAATATGGTCACTGGAAAAGTGCCGCTGTTAGAGCAGTTTTAATTTAGTCTGAATAAATCAATTAGTAAATTGATAAGACCATGTGTTTTATGTTATTAGTGGATTGATCAGTTTTTGTTTTCTAGGTAGTTTCATATTTTGTTTTCCATTCTGAGTAGCAACTTTTAATATCAAGGAGCAAGATCTTTTGTCGGTGTATTCAAATGTTTTAGCATTTCTCCAATAGAAAAATATTTGCATGGCTTGAAAATTATACCATACCTCAAATAAATTTCCCAAGGAGAAAAAAATCAAGAAGACAAGACAAAGCCATGTCTTATATCCAAATCTTTATTTGATAAGTTGTTCACTTGAGGGTAACATCCAAAAGGAATTTTTTTAAGCATCACCTTTTTTTATTTGGATGACATATAGTGAGAATGAAGGTGGTAAAAAATTATATATGGTCAAGAAAATTATTGAAAGGAAGGAACTTCATGATTAGAAAATATTTATTATCATATAGTTGAAACTCTTGAAATCTTTATTTAATAATATAAAGATAGCTTATTGATTATGTTAAAACCATAAATCCTAATGTTAGCAAAAATAAATAAATAACATAAAAAAATAAAATAACATAAATAGAATAATGATTGAAATAATAAGTTTAAGAAAAAGAGAAACAAAAACTATTAAAAGAGGTGTTTTTTTTCTCCATAGTTCATAAACATTCTTATTCTTTAGTGAAGTGGATAAGCTGTTCTCACCTGTAGTAATCCTTGCACTTGGTAATAGCAGGAACATTAAATTAATTATAATATTTAAATTAGGCATTCAGTTTACTTAAGTTGTGGATGTAATTCTTTTAAATCATTAATGGAATGTGTATGAAATTTCAACAGATATCAATAGAGAAATATCCCGGCTGATAAAAGCTATACAATTTAATACATATAAAGCTCATAAATATGCACCCACAGGACAAATTTTCAAAGATGAGATATGCGATCCAAGTTAAATTACCAAGGATCTCCTCAAAGAAAAATAATAGTGAATATTTAAAATGAACACTTCCACCAAGAATGCATTTCTGACACTAAATACCAGTGTATGTCGCTATTTCTCTCATGCTCCACTGCACTTGTTTCACATTCACTGAGATTTAAGAAGGCAGAAGATTGGTTTCCCACCCAAATCAATTGTCAGAGATGCACTTTTTGTTGAAAAACGAAACCTGCCATGAACTTGACGAAAAGTGCTTATCTATTCAGTTGAGAATATCCAGTATCTACCCCACCATTGCCACAGTCTAGCAGAGCTTTTCTATTGAGCTCCCTAGCATATCTCCACACATAATTCAGACCCACAAGAAGCTCAGTGATTATTGCTTCTGTTTTTTCTTGACTTGCGAAGTAAAGGGTTTGCACCAGCAGCACATTTGTCCGGGAAACAAAGCAATGTTGCTCATAACTTCTCTCAGATTGCCATCTTAGCATGTTGTGAGCAAGTGGGGCTAACCATTCTAATATACCCGTCATTGCTTCGGTCCATTCATCTGCTAGACTTGCGTCATACACTGCTGAGGCCATGGCCTTGGAATATGGCTTTAGCTTGATGCTAATAGCAGCTCTTACACATCTCGGTAACATGTTGTACAGATCATCTCTTGCATCAAGACCAATCAAGTATGGAGATGTTGCTAGCTTCTCAATCATGATAACAACATTTGCATAGTGCAGGGCTAAAGAAGCAGTACCAAGGGATTCAGATGGAGGCTTTAACCTGCATAGGTAACGGAAAGTTGATTGAGGGCTATGAACCTCTTTTCCACGAGTTACATGGTTTGCCTTAGGGTCATTGGGATCCTGTGATGCTAAATGAACATCATCTGCGCTTGAGTGTCTATCAATGACCAAAGAACTGTCCGCCAGCATAGATCCTTTGAAAGGTTCTACTTGAGTCAGTCGACTATGTCTTGCGTTAATTTCTTTCCCACTTACATCAGTTGAGTGGCCATGAAACTTCCAAATCTTGCTGTTTTTATTTGTTCCATTATCTGGGACAGGCTTTTTTGAATTTCTTCCAAGAGGACCTGAGAAAAATCTGATACTTCTATTCTTTGATGAAATTAGGCCTGACTTTGTGGACGAGTCTCCAGCATCTGAAGGAAACATGCTAGCTTTCTTTGTTCGAACATTTTGACGAGATGTAGCAGCAAAAGCACCAAGGGGTCCTGAAGCAAACGTGGCTCGAACGTTGCTGGAGGGTTGGACTGAAGGACGCAATGATTCAGAAACTGATCGACTGCCATTAGCATGATCAGAATTTAAAGCACTTCGATTTTTGGTTTTACCAACATCTATTATCTCTTGAATGCCAAATACATTGTTGATCCTACTGAATATTGTAAATACAGATCTTGCTAAAAAGAGTACCGTGTAATCATATGTTCTGTTCCATAGAGAACTAGCCTTTAAGTTCTTCACCTCCAGTCTCTTCCATGCAACCTTCTTTTGATAGTCAATTAAATTTGGTCCATCTGACTCAGTGTAAGCCTTCATTCTTCCAAGAGTTTGCTCGAGATCAGCAAGCAATTCCATCTCTTGATACAAAGTTGCATTAGTTGATATGAATTTTTCCATCCTTTTTACCTTTTTCTCCATTTTCTTGGAAGTGAATCCCCACCGATATGGATCAAAACCAAAAGTGATAAATTCATCAAAGGCATTCTCAAAACCTTTCAAACTTGGATCACTGCATTTTTTCCCTAGCCTAGCCACAGATTCAGCCACATGTGCCATATTATCAAGCATCTCTAGACTTATTAAACGTACAATGAAATTCTCATCTTCTGAAACAAGCTTTCTGATACCCACTGAATTTGTTATCTCTTCTCTCAACTTAGCAACCTGTTTATCACTCAAAGACTGCCACAAGTTAACAAGCTTGGACATCAAGCTTGCAACTTCAAATGCTAATATTCCAATCACGGCTTTTTCAGAATGAGCATCATCCTTCCGTTGAATCTTCCATAGTGTTCGAAACCATGATGCACCAACCATTGCTTACCTAAGAATGATAAAAAAAAATGCTCTTTAAGACAAGTTGTTGGTCATAGCTCTGTAGTACTCCATACATAACACAAAATAAGATTGTCAAAATGGGCTTTAAGCATCCAGATAAATTTCAACCTGAATCAAACACTTTATGACGCTCAGTAATACAACAGAACAGAATATGTATTTGGCATATTTACAAGCTTCCTTTTGCTATTCTGTCCCGTGGCAAGGTAAGGAAGTAGCACGGAAGATTGGGCATGAAGTAATTGAATTTGGCCAAGTGCATACTGGTTGTTTCCTATTACTTACTGCAATCCGCATGCAGTGGACTATCCTAACATCTTCGACCATGTCAAATTATTCCAAGTATTTAGATTTGACAGTTTATTATATAATCTTCTGCAAATTTGAAAATTCTACATGTTTCAAGTACACCAATGGTTTATTTGTGAATTAAAAAGCATCTTTTTTCCCTGGAAACCAATCTATCTTTGCCGTTCAATTGCTTTATTCAAACCTTACCTAACTCAAATGAAACAACCAATTGGTTAGCTTTATATGGTCATTTGTATTTTGATGCAAATGATTTAATCACTTCACCATCTTACAGCTTAATGATTTAATTACAAATTTCCTATGTCTTGGAATGTTTGGCAAAATCTACCAGAAGCAAACTACGAAACATTTGAAATGGATATATATTATGCAGATTAAAGTGATATATACCAACAGAATTTATATTATGGTTTAAATAAAATGGGATATAATTCTCATTAAGTTTTTAATTTGACTTAAAATTGTAGTAAAAAATGTTCAACTTGACCAGGGATTAACCATAACCTTGGTGTATAACCCACGGCGATAGGAAAAAAAAAGGAGGGAGATTGCAATAATTTTTTAACAAACAGAAGGAAAAGAAAATAAAAAGAGGAAATAGGCCCCAACCAAAGAAAAAAGGAAGATTCTTTCCATTTACATTATTTTTCCTAAGTATATGATTATTGGGGAAAATAATAAGCTCCGACATCAACTCCACCATTTATTACTGCTGAAAAATATTTACTGATTTTAAAAAAAATAAAATAAAGGGAGCTGAATACAAACCAAAATCTGGAGATTCTATTGTTTCTCTATACCCCCTCTCTTTCTTTGTTTACTTTTTTATTTACAAAAAGTAACTAACTAGAATCACAACCTGAAAGGAATATACTTTTGGGGGCAAATTGTTCTACACCAATTCTTACTGCAACTACAAAGGAAAATGGCACAGCCCGTGAAAAGAGGAAGGTAAAAATCACAGTTATTAATGAGTATGCAAGTTCTGAAGCATCAAATACACACATAAATGAAAAGTCACAGTTGGAGACCCAGAAACTCACCGATCAAAAAAGAGGAAGGAGTTGGGCTTGGAGAGGAATCGTTGAGCTGAGAGAGAGAAGAGAGAGAGAAAAGGGAAGGATGTGGAAGTTGAGCAGTGAAAGGAAAAGAAGGCGAAATTGCAGAGAAAGCGAGTGTGTGTATATGTGTATGAATGAATGAAATTAAACACATTTTCTAGGTTTTTTTCTATTCCCCTTCACACCCTCCATAGTTATTATTTACCAAAACTAATATACTTTTATATTTTTTAATAGTTTAATAATTAACTTTATACAAAAATTAGTTTAAAAAGCATTTAACATGTTATTAAGACTTTTTGTCTTGGTTGAGTTCTTCTTTAAATATAGTCTAAGATGAAAATGTCGCTTAATCTTAAAATGGAATGACGCAGGTGAAGAAGATTACTTTAATGTAAAATAAAATAAAAATTACCTTAAAATTATTAAAAAAAAACTTATACTATTCTATTTTTTTATAATTTAATTTTTGAATTATTTATTATACTGAATATTCATGGATTTGATTAATAATTTATTATTATTATTATTATTATTATTATTATTATTATTATTATTATTATTAAATTGTCAATTATCTTTATTCGGTTTCTTTTCTCAAGTACTTTTCTTTTGTATTTATAAAATACAAAAATTTACTTTTGGACACGTCGTCCCCATTTTTCTCACGTTTACTTTTATATTTTGAATCTAAATTTGTACTTTATAATATATATTATGTTTTAAATAATTTATTTTATAACTAATATTACTTTTTATTTTTTATTTTACTTAATATACAAATAGTCATTATTAATAATAAAAATACATATTATTTTACTTAGTTTTTTTGCATAAATTTATTTAAATTAAAAATATAGAGAAAATTGGTAGTTATACTTAAGGCAAACCAAATTTAAATTTCAATGCACCCAAAAAAAATTGTAATTTCTATAATTATTTATAACTTTAGTATGAAAACAAAAAATTATTACTACTATTATAATTATTATTAATTACATTTATATTTAGAAATTCAACCCACATACTTTTATGTGTAATAGATTTATTGATTACGAAATTATCTCAAAAGATAAATTTAAGACAAACATTTTAAAGTGAGATTAAACGTTTTTTCTATGAAATGTATTAAGTGAAAACTTTAAGTTATATTAAAAAAATTAATACATTCTTTAAATTAAAACCAAATATTCATAATGTCTACTTAATTTTAAATTTTGTGTTAATTAAAATCAAAGGAAAGTTATAATAAATACTTTACATTAATCATTAATTTTTGTTTGATAATTATATTAAATACCTTAATTTAATAATTTCTCATGAAAACTCAGAAAATAATTTAATGTATCCGTCTATTACAAAAATTCATGGTTTATAGCGCTGAAATGATTTATTGGCCAATTAATTATTGCGTTTACTTTTTAAATTTGTATATTGGAAAATAATTAATGTTCTTTTAATAATAAATATTTAATACATTTTTTATCTCTCTTATTAATAATTTTACTACTAATAACTATTAAATCTAAATTATTATTAAAAGCAATAGTTAATGTTAAGTTAAAGATAGAAAAATCAAAAAGACCACAAGACCATATTGCACGCGTCAAGAACTTAAGTGTAATGCGTCAAAGGATATATCGCAAGATAGGAACAGTCACCATCTTGCGATATTATATGCATTTTTCATATAACGGCAAATTACAAGCATAACTCGTGTACTATAATGTATATAAAGGATATGAACATATAATATATATGTGTCATATAAGACAAAATATAAGACATTTAACTTAATTATTGTAAAAAAAGAATTTTTTGTCAAAAAAATTAAATACATTATAAAAAATTAATAAATAAGTCTATATTCAACAGTGATAAATTTGTTAAATTAAAAATATTTTTTAATTATTTAATATATATTAATTAGCATTAAAACATATATAACTTATTATTAAAAATATTATGATAAAAATACTTATTTTTATTTTTTAGAGATTGATTTTTTTTCTAATATTTAACTGAGTTTAATAGATAAAATCAACAGTATTCTAAATCGATATATTCAATTTTTTTTATCGAACTTGTTAAAGTTATTTATTTTTATATTTTTTACAAGAAAACAATTATTTAAGCATGTCTTCAAGATTTTATGTTAACTTGTTTTATTTTTTCTATTTTTAGCTCAAAATATTTGTCTCAACAATCATTTTGTTTCTCAGTTACAACTTCTTCACGCATTCTAATAAGCTAAATGTGACCAAAAGATCGATTTTGGTGGAATCACGTTCAACGATATTTGATGATTTTTCAAACACATTCCGTGTCATTACTTCCTTTAGTTAGGTTTGATTTTCTCGGAGTCTTGATATTGTTTTGGCGTTGTGAACAAATCAATTTTACATTAACTAACTTCGAGTTAATAACATGTTTATGAACTTATTGTATTTCACACCAAATTTACATTATTCTCTAAGTTTGTGAGGGACTATTGAGAAAATAATAAATAATCAAATGAATGATTAATTAATTTGCTAACAAATCTCCACTATACTTCGTTGATCATCAATTCAATTTGACTCCAAACTAAGTTAAATCAATATATTTTCTCTCCAATTATTCATTTCATTAATAATTTTTAAATTTTGTAAATAATATCGGAAATAATTATAATATTTATAATTTTTGTTTAAACGATACTTTATTGCTGAAACTAGTTTTCAGATTTTTAAAAATAAAAGTTACAAACCCTATACTTTTTATGTTTTTGTTACAATAAATTTAACATTCCAAGGAATATATTTATTTAAACGATGTATTTCTCATTTTCATATTATATATATATATATATATATATATATATATATACTTTAGATAAATTAAAAAAATATTATTATTCCAACATGCTAATTTCTTACACTTTTTAAAATTAATTTATATATATTTATCTTTTTCAATTTATTAAGATATTTTTAAAAAAATTATTGAGATATTTTTAAAAATAAAATCATGATAAATAAAAATTTTAAAACAGATAATATTTTATACATTAAAATTAATTTAATGATATTATTATAAAAGAAACGAGACTAAAATCTATTTATTAGAATATAAATGGTTTAAATCTTTTTAACGTCATAATCTTTTATTTTATGAAAAATTTTCTTTTTAACTTTACAATAAATGATAATATTTTGTCTAAAAATAAAAATATTTTAATCTCATATATTCTATAATAATATAAATATTTAAATATTATTTTAAAATTCTTATTTATTGAGATTTTATTCTTTAACAAATATATATACATAAATACTGTTAATCCCAATTCTTAATCTATATTAAATTATTCCATCCGAAATCACATGCTACAGTAAAAAGATAAATTTGAAAGTAAGGATGTGGAGTTGCATTCCATCACAATCAGTGACAATGAGTGGCAATTACGCGCAATTTTTTTGCTTTTACCAAAATGGCCTCCACGTAGCCCTTATACGGACCCACATATTAAAAAATGGACCCAAATTGGTTGCATTAAAATATATCTGTATTCGATGACTTTGTCTTTGATTTATTATCGGCTACAAAATTGTATATTATCCATTCACATTATAAAACATTGACTTCTAAAACAATTACCAAACAGAGTTGTTTTCAAGGTCGTGTTGTAAATGACCCGCTATAATTTTATATCAATGGGGAATTATCTTACAATTCCAATTTTATTAAATATTGTTATAGGTAAGAAATTTGTTGCTGTGCTTTTCACTTCAATTATATATGATGGAAATTCTCATAAATATGATTTTTTTTATTAAAATTTGATTGATATTTGTAAAGAGTTTATATGTAAATTAAACATATAAATATAGTAAATGAGATAATGAATGAGTTGATCAAATATTAAAAGTCTAACTTAAATTTTGTGTTTATTGAATTGAGTCAAATTTGATTGTAACAATAAACTTACTTATAATGTTTCATTCTTTGTTAAGATTTTTTTTTTTTTAAATATCCATATAAATTGACCCTCTTATTTTCACTTCCTCGTTTTAATGACATAATAAGACATTATTATCATTGTTCACCAATAACTTTCTTTCCAAACAACATATTATAATGTAATTTTATTTTCGAATCTAATTGCACATCTTTTAACGAGAAATGAAAGACATAATTTTTTTTATACTGAGAGATAAAGTTAGTTAAATGTCATAATATAGTAACAAAAAGGTTTTATAAATCTAAAATTTGGTTAAATCAGTAACATGTACAAATAATTCATGGTCTTAAATGTTTTATTTACTAATATTAATGAAATTTGAATGCTCATAATCTCCCTAATAACACACACAAAATCAAAAGTCTTGAGCTTATCACAAATTAAGAGTATACAAAATTATTCTAGAAGGTGGTAGCTTATGTATGTTTAATTATAATTATATGCTTTTGTCACTATAGTTCTAATCATAGGTCCCAATCTCTGTCATCCTCATTCCTAATTGATCCCATCTTCTTATACCTAATTTCATCCTCCAAATAAAAAGTAACATATTAAAAATAAAATAACTCCAAATCTCATTACTTAAAAAATCAATATTTGATGATGTTACTTTTTTCTTTCCTACAAATGATAATAAAACTTAATTATCTCCCACATAACTTTTTAAATCATTAGTCTCCTAAATCAAATATTAATATAATAACATTGAAAATCCAAATGTAAGTTTAAATTTTACATTGAGTATAAATAAAATAATTAAGTTAAAAATGAAAATCACTTATAACCTAATATATTAAAGGTTATTAAAATTTTGAATTATGGTATATTCTCTTATATCATTAATTGACATCTTATTATTGAAAATGTTGTTGTTAACCTATTAGAAATATCCAATAAATAAGAATAAGTATTTAATTATAAAGTTGACGTTTATCTTAATATGATTAGGTGAATAATTTTGTTTTTGGACATATGTTATTTATTTTAAACATTTATTTTTGAGGTTCAGTAAGATATAAAATCATATATATTCATTTTATTTCTTTATTTAATTTACAACAACAACTATAAATATTATTTTCACTTTCATTTAAGTAGTTATAGTTCATATTAAAATTGACACAAAGGAAAATGCATCAAAATAACAAAATTGAAAGACTCAATTAAATTCATTGGATTAATTCTAAAAAGAAAAGAAAAACCAAAATAAATAAACTTGTGTTCCAATCCAATTTAACCTATATAAATAATATTTTATCATTGTATCAATATTAATATAGAGATGTTCCAATTTTTGTATTTTAACTAATAAATTTACATAGAATAACAAATAGGTTAGGTTCAATCAATTTCAATTTGAGTAAATGAATTAGTAATTTTAATTTGCTGTTTTATTTTGATCAACCCAATAAATTAATAAACCCGTCAACCTAATAGATTAATAAACTGATATACTCTTAAAAAATATTTATATTAAATAAAAATAAAATAATTATAATAAAAATATTATATTTTTTATGTTATATTATTAAAATATATAAATATACTATAATATTATAATTTAAATTTAAATTATAAATTATAATTAAGTATTTCAATATATAAATATAATAATTTTTTTAATTTATCTAATAAAATTATTTATTAAAAAATAAAAACTTAAAAATATTTATATAATTAAATGTATATTTTTTAAAATAATACATACACAATTTTATATAAAATAATTATTGACTGAGTCACTAATTTATCAATGGAACCTTTGATGGGATAAGTTGGAATTTATTAGGTGGATTAAAAATGAGATGACCCGTTTTATTGCTTAGATCTACATTAACGGAAAATGGTATCCTATTAATCTTTTGAAATATATTCTTTTTATAATACTCATTTAATTAATTAAGATTTTAAAAAGTTGTTATTTTCAGATTTATATATTTTTTTAAATTACTTTTCAAACAAAATACTCTTATTTTTATTTTTTTAATTAATATTCTAGCAATTAAAAGAGTAATGATGCACATAATTTTTAAGAATAAATAATAGAATAAGTAAAGAAATCAAAGCAAAAAAGTGGGCATGGAATACATTTTAGCAACCTTTTCCTGTCAAAAAACTGGTGTCAGCTAAAAAAGTGGTTACTAGTTTTGGGAGTGCGCCGTTGTTTGGTGTATGAATCTGTCAGTCAAACATGTCGTGCTGTGCGCCTCATCAACTCCACAAAAAAACAAGGCGCGCAGTCGCCACCAGTAATACACACTGCACCCACACGTCCATAAATATAAATAAAATTAATTATTTTATTCAGAAGAGTAATTCAATTTATTTAATAACTTTATTGTCGTACTATGAAAGAGTTACTTTTATTAAATTTTTATATTATATTTATTAAGAAATAATTTAAATATTTTAATTAAATTGAAATTGTTCCGCGTGGGAACAATCAAACTCAAACCACGAGATAAGTTTGTAAAAAAGAAAAACAGTTGCGCATAAAGATGTGAAAGTAAAACAGTAGTAAATTTACTGTTCTTCGTCTATGACCTGCAATACCATTTAAGATTTGTCTGTTTGATAATTGATGGTAGTTCTTCTGTTGTTTTACGTATGGCGTCCCCACGTGAAGACTTTGGTGACTACAGTTGAACGACACGTGTTGCATGATTGCTGCTTCTGGCGCTTTAATAATTCGCTTTGAAACTTGAAGCAAACACATACTATATGCTACATACACTTTCTGTATTTATTGTCCATTCTCTCTCTCTCTCTCTCGCTCGCTCATTCCACAATTTCCTTTTGCTTTGATCGATTCAGTGATCAGTGGTGTTAGTTGGCTGATAGAAAATGCAGTCCAGTCCTGTGCTTCTCGAGGAACCGATTCGGATGGCATCCATCCTTGAGCCATCTAAGCCAGTCAGCATTTCCTTCTTCTCACGTTTTATTTTCTATTTTCAAGTGGGATGTGTTCTGTTCGTTATGTTAATCAATTTGCTATTGTTGTAATTTGTAAACACTTCGATCATGGGAAAGCTATCAACTTTTGGTGACCCATTTGTGGTGTTGTTATTTGGAGTGAATATATGTGGCTCTGGTAATGATGCTTTTGATATGTGTGGAATTGGTGATGTTGCTTTTGATTGCTAAATGCCGAGGATTTGGCGGATCAAGTTGAATGGCTGTAATCCATGAAATGAAAGACATTTCTACTCTGACTAATGGTGCTGTTGATATGGGTCCTGCTGGTTTGGTTGAAGTTACCATCTTTAAGCACTGTGATTTTGAGAAACTATCAAATTTTAGATTGTTGCTAGGAATTTAGTAGATCGAGTTGCAAAATGACTGTCATAGATGAATTGAAAGACACTTTTACAATGACAGAGGTTGAAGTTGCTTATCAAATTGATTTAGAGTCAAGGCAACGGTGTGGTTTGAAATTTACTTGTGCTTATTTTTAAACCTTTTAAAGGAACTTCAGGGAAGGTAGCATTTTGGAGGGGTTGGTGGGTGTCCTTTCAGATTATATCATTGTTTCACAAATTCATTTTAGGAAAGCAAAAGAAAAATCTGTTAGTCTTGAAGATATGGATTTTAAGTAGAAAGTTTAAGAGGCTCAATGTATCGCATGCAATTTCCTAGAGAAGTTTTAGTGCATATTCAATGAAGAATTTCAGTGTTGTCAATTTGGATTTTCATTGAAGTGTTTGTGATGCATGATGCAGACCTTCTTTCCAGCTATGACAAAAATTGTTGGCACACTTGGTCCAAAGTCACGATCAGTTGATATAATTTCCCGTTGCCTAGATGCAGGAATGTCTGGTATTTTCCCATTACAACCTTTGATTACTTGTCCTTGTTTGAAAATTGAATACGTTACTTTTTGTCCATATCGATCTCACCTTTTCTCCTCTTTCAGTAGTGGGTAATAAGATAGACATATTTGATATTTTTTTGTTTCTTCCTATATTATCAGAAAAATAGAACAGCTCAGTTTATTAGAATCAACGGTGTTGGAAGGCCTAGTAGTTTTCAAAAGGGCATATAAATACAAAAAGACCTATTGCCTTCTGGCATGTGGCAGTTTTGTTTTTCACCTTGGGAAAATACATATCACGAATTAATTGAACAATTGTGTTTTGATCATGCCTACAATCTTCTTGAGTTATCTGTTTTGTCATCTCATTCTTCTTTTCTTCCCATGTGCTAGTGGCAAGGTTTGACTTCTCATGGGGTGATCCAGAATACCATCAAGAGACATTGGAAAATTTGAGAGTTGCTATCAAAACTACCAAGAAACTCTGTGCGGTATACATTTTATATGTTTGCTGTTTATTTATTTATTTACCGTGCATACGTATGACTTCTAACAGGTCCATACACTGAGTCTATCACCCTATGAGCAAACATCTTCTGAAGGGAAATTGATATAAAAAATGTACGTGCATTTTGGTTCAATTCCAGGTTATGCTAGATACGTTGGGTCCAGAATTACAGATTGAGAATAAGACTGATCACCCAATCACCCTTGAAGCAGACACATTAGTTGTCTTAACTCCAGATCAAAACAAAGAAGCTAGTTCAAATCTCTTACCAGTAAATTTTAGTGGTCTATCGAAGGTTAGAGTACCTTTTCCTTTACTTCGTAGTTTTGGAGTGTGTACTTTGCAATATTATTCTGTTGAATAGTCATGTTGGTTCTGCCAATTTTAGCGTATAGTCTTCTGATATTTCTGCATGCATGTAATCCTCTTGCCCTTTTGAGATTGTTTTTCTCAGTTGTTTTCTTGTTGCTTCTTTGTATATCATCCATAATGTACTCGCCAGAGTCTGTGATTCTTAACTGTGGTTTGTGCAATGACTGGTTTGGTATCATCATTTTCTGGGATATTTTTCATTCATCCATAATTGATAAATGATTTTCTATGCCATATTGAATAATTCTGAATTTTCATCATGGCACTTTGAAATGGCTCAAAAGCTGAAGTTCCTGCGTTTCTTGACTAGTGATGCCTTTCTTATACATTTTACTTTGATAAACCACTTGGTATTGATTGGCAAGGGTAATGCCCCAAGCCACTCTGTAAGGATATGCAATGTTTATGGTGTCTCCTTAACTAATATACCTATAATTATGCAGGCTGTGAAGAAGGGTGATACTATTTTTATCGGAAAATACCTGTTCACTGGAAGTGAAACAGCTTCTGTATGGCTGGAGGTAATGCAATCGTGGATTGATTATAGATTCTTAATGTATGTAGAAGTAGGAGTATATTATTCTGATTAATTGATTATTTTAATAAATCCTGCTGTGTATGTTAATGAAATACCCTTCTTTTGACCTCCTTAGGGTATGTAATTCAGTTAGGCTAGTTATTATACTATTTCCAAAAGTTTGATGGTTTGAGATGCTCATTCAAGACCGGTTCCAAGGGTAGTATAGAGGTGCCTTGGCACTGGATACATGAATGAGAGAAGCCCAGAAAAAGGTTAGTTTTAATATTTTTTTATAAAAAAAATTGTTTTTTTTTAACAAAAAAAATCTTTTATTTTGTTAAAATTAAAACATGTATATATAATCTTATTTATTATTTAAAAAAAAAAAGTTAGTTTGGGTGTTTAAAAAAAAACATGTTTATATGTTAAAATTAAAATTTGTATACATAAAAGTCCTTATTTATTGTTTTGTCATAGACTTACAAAATGTCAAGACTGGTCCTGTGCTCATTGAAATGAGTTAAACTTAAGTAGATTACTGTGTGTCACAATTGCAAGTCAATAGGATCTTGCCATATGATTATTACAATTTACAATATAATACAATTCTCTTACTAAATATTTCAATTTATGCTAACTAGTAGTACTTCTAATGCAATTCAAGCCCTACAACAATATCTTGATTTTTTTGTTCCTAAAATCACATATGCAGGATATTTAATTTGGAGTTTACATATATTTCTTTCCATGTTCCTAGTTTCCTGCTTAACCTCTTTTTTGGTTCGTCTATCTTTATCCGCTCTATTAGTCTATAATAGTGCAGTAAAATAGAAGGTTTATCATAAAATAATAGACTAGACACATGTATGCTGCTTTTGGGAAGTTAGCTTTGTAGGTAGCACTACATGAAATAGAGTGCAGAAAGTAGAATATTGCTAATACAAAGTCAGAATTATTGTGTTTGATTACTGTTACTCATGTAGTTTTGGTTTCAAAATGCAGGTCAGTGAGGTGGATGGCGTTGATGTCACCTGTCTTGTAAAAAACACTGCTACACTCTCGGGACCATTGTTTACTGTACATGTGTCTCAGATTCGTATTGATCTTCCTACTCTTACTGATAAGGATAAGAAGGCAACTAACTAAAACCTTGAGCAAAAATTAGTGACACTGATATAATGTGGTTAAGTAGCCAACATATTTTAAGTGCTTGAGAATGAATACTTCAATTTTTATCTTGTTTATGGAGAGAGATGGGTTGAATTTTGTTGTTGAAATTACAGCATTAGTTGATCAATGGTGGAAAATACTTAATGTTGTTGTATAACGGATTTTGTTTCTGTTAGTCTGGAAAATGGATCATTTATTTGACAATCCAAAAGATCAAATGTATGTGTACGGTGTCTATTCTACTGTTAATAGATGTGATAAATTCTTATATCTGCACTATAACAGAGAGTATAACTGGTTTGATTTCCCCTTTTACAGTCATGAAGCAAATACCTTTTTCTTATTATCTTGTAATTTTGTTAATCTAAATGTTCCATTTTCATTTTACTCACTAACCCAGGTGATAAGTACATGGGGTGTTAGAAACAATATAGACTTCCTTTCATTATATACCCGGCACGTTGAAGATATTCGCCATGTAAGGAATATTCCTGATATATTTATCCTATCAATTCTATCACGTCTTTCCATTTACTCAATTATTATTCTTGAATCTATTTTCAACTTCTGAATTTGCTTGGTTTTTGTAGCATTTGATATTCAGTGAGAAAAAAAATAAACAAATGTCACCTTTTTCATTTTGCAGGCGCGTGAATTTCTCTCTAAATTGGGTGACCTTAAGCAGACACATATCTATGCAAAGATTGAAAATATAGAAGTAAGAAACTCCAAGATCTTTTGAACAATTAACTCTCCGCTTCTATGACAGAAAAATGCTATTTTGTAGTGTGCTTAATTGTGATTCTTAAATTAATGCGTGTTTCTTCTGTAATTATTTAAGGGAATGAAACATTTTAATGAGATATTGAGAGAAGCAGATGGCATCATCCTCGCTCGTGGAAATTTAGGGATAGAACTCCCACCTGAAAAGGTCAGTGTTTTCTTCATGACAGAAAAATCCAATGTTATATGAGATATTTCCATTTTGTGTAGTAGTATTTTTCAGCATGAAGGAAAATTTGGGTCTACTTGTGATTTTTACAGAATTACTTACTCTCTCCAGCATAAAACTTTACAATCTTCATATATATTTTTGGATTTGACAGGTTTTCTTATTCCAAAAAGCTGCTATTTACAAGTGTAACATGGTTGGAAAGCCAGTTGTTGTTACACGTGTTGTGGACTCTATGACTGATAATCTAAGACCTACTCGTGCTGAAGCAACAGATGTTGCCAATGCAGTGCTGGATGGTAAATTCCTTTTTGTTATAATTGGTGAATCCTGTTTGGTTTTTTATGATGAGTGCAATGGAGAATTGTAAAAACTCTAGCATTTAATACATTTGCAGGTTTCTGTTATTGGGTTCATTACATTATGCATAAGTATGGCTTAAACCTTCATGTCTAATTTTATTTTCCTCTGTCTTTTTGATCAGGCAGTGATGCAATTCTCCTTGGAGCAGAGACCCTGCGGGGACAATACCCTGTAGAAACCATTTCAACAGTTGGAAAAATATGTGCTGAGGTTGGTAACGTTCTCTTATAAAATTATTACCAAAAACTTTCCAGTGTGACAGTGTCCACCATCTCTCATTCTCTTGTGCTTTTGAATTGATTTCTTATTATTCTTGGAAAGTTTTCTTGTTCAGATGTACTTTAGTTATAGAAATTATCTTACTACTATATTTTGTCTTCAGAAATTATATGTCTTGGTTGCTCGTAGCTGTCAAATTATGTATTTGCCTTTGGTCTTTAAAAATCTGGGTATTTTTTTTCTATTTCTTTTTCCTGATGATGATCTAAGCAATTGTGGAGTTTGAAATTATATTATGGTTTTCTAATTTTGGTAAATTTAATTCCATTCATTATACAATTGTCGCTGTTTGCCCCTGAAGAGTCATGATTACTTCCCATTGATGGCTGCTGTGTGCAGGCAGAGAAAGTTCATAATCAAGATTTGTATTTTAAGAGGGCTGTCAAATATGTGGGAGAGCCAATGAGCCACTTGGAATCAATTGCTTCCTCAGCGGTACGATTCTTGGTTTCATGATTCTTTTCACCAACATTCTTCTATTAAAGGATTATGTACTTGTAGTAGTAGTAGTACATATTGGGGAAGTGAATTTCTCTTTTCTGAAACATGCAGGTTCGAGCAGCTATCAAGGTTAAGGCATCTGTTATTATTTGCTTCACTTCATCTGGAAGAGCTGCAAGGTTTCATTTTATCTCCTTTTATGATTTCCCTTTGTTATTAAAAGGACATCTCAATTTTTTGGGATTATTGACCAGTATTTACATTTGTTAAATTCTTTCTGTCAGTAATTTAGTTTCATGGTGATTTTTCTTTTTTATATATGTTCCATGTTGGTTATAAGTTATTGGCACTCACTACTCAGTTATGTTCTATTCTGTTGCTGCAATTTGATGTCTTGCTGACATAATTAATTATTTGTTTATTGTGTATCTATGTAGATTGATTGCTAAGTACAGACCAACCATGCCTGTGATATCTGTTGTCATTCCCCAGTTGAAGACAAATCAACTCCGATGGACATTCACCGGTGCTTTTGAGGTATATAATTGATATTAGCTTTTCATGACTTTTGAAACTGATTTTAGCTACTGACGTAGCAAATTAACACAGTGCTAAGAATAAATAAATCTTGATGCTGGTCAACCCTTTAAGTTAGCATTATTATTTATGAGTAATTAATTACTATCTAGAACTCGGTAATGGAGCTAGATACCAAACCAAATCGAGTTAGCTGGTCTTGAACTTGACCTGTTCAAACTATCCAAAGAAATTCTGTGCTATTGTGCTAGCTTCTTCTTACACTATTAGTTTTATTGTACTTTTATGCTCATGCTATCAACTTTCTGGGATAAATTTACCAGTCTCCTCATGATATTGATTTAGTTATATGTCAATGTATGTTTAACTGCTTTTGGGTTCATTGGTTTAACAAACAAGGCCAACTTGAATTTTTCTTGTGGGGAAAATTGCTTCTTAGGTTTGAGTACATCTGTATAGATTATAGGTGAAATAAGAGGAAAGAAGAAAGAAATAAAGATAGAAATGAAAGAAATATACAGTAAAAAATTGGTTTCTTATTTCAACTAAATTGAAATTCTCTTTGGTTGACTTGTATTATGAAAGAAGGCATTGAAATTAGTTACTTTTTGCTCACTGTTTCCTTTTGCGACCCTATGGCAGGCTAGGCAATCACTTATTGTGAGAGGTCTTTTCCCTATGCTGGCAGATCCACGACACCCGGTAAGAATTGTTCAAAGATAATGATGTAACCCAAAGAACAATTCAAAACTACTCAATTTATTTTTCTTATTATAAATTCAATATTAAGAAAAAAAAAAAACTCAGAAGATATAACGTAAGATACCTTGTAGACAAATTAACTCTACTTCTAATTTTTTTGTTGCCTTCAATTAAATGTCTTTATTGAAACCAATCCTTAAACTACTTTTAAAAGTGATTAAGGTTTGTAATTTTGTGGCTTGAGTGCAGGCTGAGTCTGAAAGTGGAACAAATGAATCAATTTTGAAGGTTGCTTTAGACCATGGCAAGGCCTTTGGCATCATAAAGTCACATGACCGAGTTGTTGTTTGCCAGAAAGTGGGTGACTCCTCGGTTGTAAAGATTATTGAGCTCGAAGACTGATTACAACTTGCGTAATTTGATTTCACAGATGCATAATAGAACTTCTTCTGAACCTTTTCATTTTAGAATTTATGTTTCATTAAAGTAACAGTAATAAGCACGAGGTCATATTATAGAGGTTGTCCCACTCATTTTGTTGCTGAATTGAATCATGTAATTCAGTTCTACTGCTGAGTGATTTAGAGTGGCAAAGAAACTTTATTGATCGATTGTTTTTATAGGCAGACACAGTTTTGAGCGATTAATGGTATGAAAATCGAAAATCTTACATCATTATATTTTTAATTTTTATTTTATTTGTTTGTTTGAATGGGCTTGTATGTTGATAATATAGTGTGATATCCACTTGAAATCAACCGATTGGTGTAGATTTCTAGATTAGTTCTGCGGTTATATAGTCGTCAGGCCTTTCAAATTCCTATTTTTTTATTCGTAATTCGAAAACGAAACTGGTTATCTTGTAATGAATTTCATATGGAAAAGAAAAAGAATGATTCATTAGAAACTTTTTTTTAAACAATGGATGATCTTAAATAGTATTTAGATAAACTACTTGTGCACATACCTTAATATTTTTAAAAAGTGCAAAGTCTGTTTTTGATACTGTATACAGTTTTCAAAGAAAACATTTAACCGAAGTCAAGATATAAGATGTGGGGGATATAATTCATATGAAAGAAATGGCGAATAAAAAAATTCATCCAAATCCTCTCCAAATTAAATAATAAGTGATTTGACTATAAAGTGAGAAGAATATAATTTATAAAATAAAGTGCAAGATGATTATTTTAAAAGTAATAGTTATGATTGTAATTAATAGTTTAAATATATATATATATATATATATATATATATATATATATATATATATATATAATTATAACGGTTGATTTGATAATCATAGTAACAAGTCCATATTATAACTAAATTAAAAATAAGAATCCATCATTTTTTTTATAACGTCAATGGACGAGCTAAAGTCAAATCAAATATTTGGCTACAACATCTGCAAAGTTCGAGCAGCAGCTGCTATTAAAAGTTAAATGAATCGAATTTAAGATTTCAGCTTTGCTAGTGGCTTTTCAACGACTAAATGGAAGGTGTTCCCTTAAATTGCATAACAACATTCATCAACATATCCAACACAGATATTAAGTTAGACGGGGAGATTTAGCAGAATTTCCCATTAATGATCCAACCACTAGGCCAAATCCATTAAATATGAAAATGCTGAGAAAGAGACAGCAATGAACTAAGAGTACCATTGAGCCAAATCTTGCCATCACTTAAGTCAGATGACTGATATGTGGAACATGAAAAGATATATTTATTCATCCAAATGGCATTGAATGGCTGTCTATACAGAGCTCTTTTAAAATTACACATAAAAGAGCAACTAAGTGCCTAAGGAGCAAAATTTCCAACGTGCTTGAATCTCAATTGTTGGAAACCTAATATTAGATAGTACCTTGTGGGTATTTTCTCAGAGTATTTAGTAATTAGACCCAAGATATTATTATACAAAAATTAATGAAGCACACCAATCGAAAACTGTTTCAGATGAAGAGATAAATGAGAAAAGGACAAAAATGGGGAAGGTATGCTAGTTTGGTCCAAGTTGTGGTGAATCCGCATGATTGGTCGTAAGTTCAATAAGTAACATGAATTTGGTTTGCGTCTTTATAAAAGAAGCCGTCTTATATCACTGAAGTTTGATTGCAACGCAGAGAGAAATGCACCTGCAAAAAAGAGTTAAGCATCAACATTAGCCTGCATTAAAAACAGTATGTATCTGGGTGGATTGCAGCAAAAATGGTTCTTAAGTGCATAGATCTCACACCCAAGATCTCTTTTATAGACAATTATTAATGGCGAAATGACATTTTATATGACTATGTGAAGTGATCCGTTTAAGTTTGTGTATATTAGTTAATCAAATATAAAATAGATTAACCAATAATTTACCTACAATTAATCATGAACCATGGGAATGTAACAATATTATTGGTTAGCTATCTGTAGGTTCAAGGTTAATTATTTTTTATACTTGGTTAGTTAATATAGGAATTGAAATAGTAACTTCTTTATCAGTAGTTAACTCTGTTTTTTGAGTTAAATTATGTTTTTGTATAAATTAATTTTGTATGAATTGAATGGAAACGTCTTACTGAGTCACATTTTCATTATCAATCCAGGAAACAATTTAACCAAACATGAAAAGCCATGAATAGGGAACTTACTATCACACACCAACATGTATAATGTGATAAAGAATGGAAAAACCCTGTTCTTGGTACAGAATATACAAAGCAATTTGATTTTGTAATATTTTTAGCTGCTTTGTTCCTAATTTGCATCGCAACTACATAAAATAAGTGTAAGGCATGAATGTAACACACTTCTCCTACTTTTCATTGGTTAACTATAGTGTTCCAGTAACGCATACCTCCAACCTTGCCATCAAAAACACGATGATCAGCAGACAACGTTAAGCTCAACTTATTGGCAATCGATGGCTTCTCAACTCCTATAGAAAGTAAAATATCAATGTTAATAAAACTCAAAAGTTTAGCATTTAGTGGCTGGCACACAGAAAACATCCTTAAATTTATACCATCATCTCCAATTGCTGCTTCCACAACTTTGTTGCCTCTCCCCACAGCAAGAATGCAGGCCTGCAGCAAATGATAAAAGAAAAATATAAAGCCTTAGAGCTACAGTAACAAGAAGCAACACAAATCTTTTGACATTTACAGTCTCCCATGAGGCTTGATAATTGGTGTCAATTAGGACCTCAGATGCACCGATACGTTGGCAAGCCCAACGTATCCGTATCGGATACGTATCCGATACCGATTATACTTAAAAAAATACAAAAAAATAAAAATAAAAACAGAATAACAAATATTTTTCTGTTATTATTACTATTAAATTAATCAAAACAGACATGGAAGTTGTTATTATTTAGAGTGACAACATTATCTCTTGATGAATCAGACATGAAAACTATTTTATTTATTGATGATGTTCACGAAGGAGATGAAATTGATATTATTTCTATTTCTAAACAATAAGTAGTTATTGTTAACTTTTATTTTCCATTTATATTTTTTTTAAAGTCATATATACATTTAAAAATATATTTAATATGTTCAATTTAAATAATATTTTTTAATATAAGACAAATCACAGTATTGGATACCTATTGTATCCTATATTCTTATTGTATCTATGCATCATAGATTAGGACTAATAAACCAGGTAATCTGAAAACTCTTTCAAAATAGCACGTTATCATGAAATATTGTTTGTTCTGAAATTTAGGCATGTTCAACGTTTAAATTTAGTTGACTGTGATGGTTTGATTCTTCATTGCCATAGTATAAAATATGAATTAGGATACATTAAATAGATTTCACTTTGCCGTTACCAAACGGGCAAATTATGGGAAAGAATAGGAATTATTCCATGAAGGGTCTTCTGCTATGGGTATGTTTGGATTGAGGTAGAGAGCAAATGGAACGGAAAATGTCATTTCACTGTTTGCTGTTATAATGGATCGAAACAAAAATTTCAATCCATTGATTGGTAAAAGGATAGAATGGAACAAGTTCTAACTTTTTAATTCCCATATTATCCTTAAGACATTAAAATTTATAAAGATAAAACAGTCATTTTATAATCTGGAAGCTTTGTTCCATTAAGTGCACCCCAAATTGGAGGGGAAAAAATTGAGATTGGACTGGAACATGATCCATTTTCTTACATTATGTTATGTTCTGATTTTGACAAACCAAACATTGGAATAACTTTTTCTTCCACTTCATTCCATCCTGTACCTACTACTCGTATATAGTCTAAAGGGACAATTAATGTGAATATCTATAAACCTGAAATCTCCAGTTCTACTTCATTTCTCTTTCTTCTAAAAAAAATCAAATTCGGCAAAAATCATGTTTGGTTCGCCATGGTTTGCTTCTTTGTTGATATGGTAATATTAGAAAAAGTGTAAGTTGAGGTACAGTAGTAATTAACTGTGATCACAAGTCACAAGCAAAACCAAAATAAAATGACTGATTTTAAGACAAGTTATATATCTTTATTGATCTATCTACGGGTAACTAGGATTGGACCTGAACAAGGTAGATTCACAATCCTCTTGGTTACATCCACATCCACTCTTACACTAAGTAAAATTTGGTAAGCAATTTTGCAATTCCAGAAGACTAGTAAATTAAGTGTTGTAAGTGTATGTGTGTGTGTGAGAAAGAAAGAGAGGTAGGGAGAGAGAGAGAACCTGAGGGGGGTTTATGATAGCACAAAATTTATCCACAGGAAACATTCCTAAATTTGAAATGCTGCATTAAGACATTGTGCAAAGATCAGAATTATTACTTTTTTATAGTAAATATTGCTTTTGAAATATGATAGAGGGGAATTTCCAAGGTTGGGTGACAATATAAGCAGTAAAATCACCTAAAAGTCCCCCCTTGGAATTCATGTGGCTTCAACTTGCCATCACGTGCCTTTGCAGCTAGTTCCTTGACCTAAAATGCCAATAAAATATCAAAGTTGGATGAAATGCAAACAAAAACTCTACATTCTGGTCTTTCCAAAATTTAAATTTACTTAGGAAAACTGTGAATGCCTAAATTTAACACAAACATATAAGAAGTCCATATAAAGTGACAGGAATTTATATATGACAAAGTGGGGAGGAAAAATATTGGTGAAGGTCTTCGGAGGGTTGGCTGCTCCACACCAACAACAATCATCTTTTCTCTCGTTTTTTTTGTTGTCGAGTATTCAGTTATTAGAGGAATCTTCCTCGGCCATAAGGAGTTTTGCTCCCTGATTTGTCAGTAAAGCATTCCGTATATTCCACTTTCTATCATAAAGTCATTAACCAAAAATCTACATATATATGACAGAATTACCTCTGAAGAGATAGCAGAGATTGTTTTCTGATCAGCATTTTTTATTATTGGAGTCATCAAGCCCTGCAAGTCAAACAAAACGTATGAGTACTTTGTACAATTATTCTATCACACTGACAATTAAACACCATCAATTACCTTATCCGTGGCAACTGCTATGGATATGTCAATAGAATCATTTAAAATGACCTCACCCTTCTCGACATTCCAGTATGCTGCCATGATGAAAACTGGATTTCAGCACTAGAAACTCCCATGATAATTTAGATTTTAAGACAGGTTCGCAAATGGTAAAAAAAAGAGGTAATGAACAATATATCACAAATCAAGAATGTAACATATCCCTCCAAATTAGTTTTGCATCCAAGCACTTTACAGTAGTTACTAATTTAGGCTCATGACCTTCAAATTGACATGGCATGTTTGGTATAAAATCCAAAGATATGCACAAAATTAAAGAGGAATGACAGGAATGGTGACATTGTTAAGACATTGTTAACTAAGTCAAACACTTAATAGAAAAATGGTTAATTTAGTTGGTAACATTAAATTTGTCTGTGATTACAATAGTTGTCCATAATTATCCTTAAATAATTAATGTTTGATGAAAGAATAATAGTAGCAGTTTTAATTTTTAAAACTAAACTCTGCAAATATCCAATCTCCATAAGAGAGAGAAAGATAATTCATAGCATTTATTATTATGTCTAAAGTAATTAAGGGTATTTTGGTCAAAATATAATTAATACAAAGAACAATTGGAAAAGAGTCTTATAAAAGGGACAAAGAAATTTCAAAACAATGTCATATAATTACGAATGGAGGGAGTATATAGTAAGCCAAGAATGTAGCTTATCACTCCAAATAGTCTTGTATCCATGCACTTCATATCAGGTCAATTAGCCTCTCTATGTACTCCTACTAGCCACCTCTATCCAACAACCTTTCAGGCACATGCCAGCACATGATGACATGTCCAACTGTCCGTCCACCTTTTCTCCAAGGCAGGTCTACTCACTCATTTCAGGCAAAGCTTGCCATTTAAAAATCCAGAAATGCTTTAATGTGTGTGTACTATAAGTATAAAAAAACGTTAATTTTATATAAGAAATGGGATATACAGGGTAAGTGTTAATTTTATCTATAAAATTATCATATTTTAGGATCTTTTTACTCTCTCTGTTTTTACTTTTACTTCATCATGCATGAAAATGTCAATTAGATAAGCAAACAAATCAAAGTAAAGTTACACAAGCATGCCAAACCCACTCTTTAAACTTCACTTATTTAAATAAATGAGTTGAGTTTGTGCATCATAGATTTTTTTATATGCCAATGGGCTTGGCTTGACTAACTATTTAACCCGCTTATGATCTGACATTTGTTTTGTTTCTCAGAAACTCTAGGTTAGTTTACATTAATTGAGTTGGCTTCAAACTGCCTTTGCAAGCATGGTTTGCGAGGTTCAACATGGTTAGTTCAGCAGCTGGGCATGGTTAATAGTGAAGCTGCTCACTTGTTTTTCCAAGGCCATTATTCACATAATGGGAGCATGTATCAATGGTATGTCTCAATGATATTATAGGAGAACAAGAATAGCAAAGAGTCATTCTATAACCAAAACTAGAACCCAAAGTTAATTCCCATAAATAAAGCAAACTTTAAGCAAATTATTGGTAACAAGAATCCATCATTTTCTACACTTCAAAAACAAAATAATATCATTACTTAAAAATTGATGTACAATAAGCAAGGAAGGAAATTCAAATGCTCTATTAAATAAATATTTTGTGATTTGAATCCCATCTACACCTAGACGTTTGTAGGCAACAAAAAATGGATAGAGTAAAACAATAAAAAGATATACCATTTGCTTCTGGTACATTTCTGAGAGCAGCAGCTACAACTTTGATAATGATGTCATTCACAGAAACTTTAACATCAAACTGCTCTGCAATCAAGGAACAAACAGAATATATCACATTGCAAAAAAACACATGACCAAGTGTATATAACATTTGACACATCAATAACAATAAAAACAACAACAAAAGCCTTATCTCACTATATGAGGATAATATCTCACACAAGCCAACATAAATTTATTCCTGAACAAGTGTACAACATTTGACACATCAATAACAACAACAACAAAAGCCTTATCTCACTAAGTGAGGATAACATCTCACACAAGCCAACATTAATTTATTGCAGGTATATACATACCTTTAAGATCCTTTCGAAGGGAAAGAAGAGGATCCAGTATAACATCTAACACATAGAAATCAAAATATATATTAATTAATCAGTACCCACATAAATTAATTTGCAATAATATGCAAGTCATTGGGAATCAAAACCTGATGATAAATATAAGTGTGGTGTATTTTGTTTTGATTCCAACAGTCTCTTGGCGATCACCTACGAAACAGTAAAAAGTATTTAAAGACTATTCATCATCTATTGAGGGGACAAGTGGAAGGAATAACAGATGAAATTTTCCCAAGTGTTCGTGTAGTTGAGAGATGTAAAGCATATATTGAGGGAACAAGTGGAAGGAATAACAGTTCTGAGTCTTCTGATGCATAGTAGGTCTAATGACAAGCATTTCCCTTCAGATATTTGAGTAATCAACTCTCAGCCAGAGACACCAGACAATGGCTGCTCAGAGTCCCTTTTTGAGCAAGATAGTTCTCCTAACTATGCAATATGTACTGAAAGAGTTAAAGAACCTTATTCATAAACATGAAGTATTTGATGGACCTACCTTGCGAATTTGACTATTAGGAAAATCTTCATAAGCATCTAACTGCTTCAAGTCAGACTTTGATTCTTGGGAAGCTGCAACTTGTTGATAACTTTGAGATGGTACTGCCTTTTCTTTATATGAAGCAGGTTTTGGAGACAATTTTCCCGACTTAATTTCATAAAGAACATCCCCTTTCAGTAGGGTGCCATAAGGACCAGTTGCATTCAATGTTGATGCATCCAATCCATACTCTGTAATTAGCAACTTTGCAGCTGGACTGATTCGAGTTATCTTGTTTCTTTTAGCTTTAACCTCACTTTTAGCATCACGTTGGGGGGTCTTCTGTTGGTTTGTTGAGCCACTGCTAACAGAATTCTTTATAGCTTCAATATCACTTGCATCTTCAACCTTGTAGAAGAGCAAGCAGTGTTAGTATTTTTCAATATACTCCAGTGCTTTTCACAAAAAGAGCAAGGGACAGCAATTTTGTTAACCAACAAATAAATATACATGATATTGTCAGACTTTTAGCTTGTATTTCAGAAGATTTATAAATTGTTAGACCTCAATCCTCACCCAGACTCATTTCATATTGCACTGGAAGTTACAAAATTGTCACAAAATATTTTCACACTTACTGTTATTGCAATAGGGTGCCCAACTGCCACATCTTTCGAACCTTCTGGAGCAAGTATCTTAGCCAGGTACCTAGTACCCACCATCCCCATTCAGATTTAAATTAGTTGGCTAGAAAGTGAAACTTTACCAGGAAGAAGAGAGGAGTAGTACAAATAAAGCTTGTCTGCAAAATTAATCAACTAGAAGATTGTGCTAAAAATAAATTAGCAAGATTATGAAATAAAAGAGATTGTAATCTACCACAAATTGAAACAACGAGAGACACCATTCTCAGGTGTTACTTTCAGCAGAACTTTAATTTTTTGTATGATGGAAACTAATCAGTGCTAGTCATGTCATGTCTATAAACACTTTGGTAAGACATCAGCCCTATAATGATATGTTTACTATCCATATGACATGGCCCAAGTCTTTGTCACAATAAAAAAATAGTTAGTATGCAACATCATTGCCAAACAATTCTGTCTTACTATAAGTGTATTGCAGTATAGACTGTAAGGAACCATACCAAGCAAACAGAACATTTACAATAAATAGCGTGCAGTATAGGGAAAGTCTATTACCCCTCTTCAAGAGTTTCAAATTCAAGCGTAGCTTTGTCTGTCTCTATCTCACATAAAATATCACCCACTTCAATCTGTTAGATAAATTAAATGTTATTGAATAGCAGACAACCAAAATAAAGGGCATTAATGACTCACATTGTTCATATTTTAAAATATTAAAAAATACATGTAAAATAGAACCTCTGTTAAAAGATTAGGTTGAAACCTAACTAACCTTGTCTCCTTCTTGTTTCCTCCATTTAGCAATGTTTCCTTGGTTCTGTGCAGTAAAAAAGAAAAAACTTGAAGACTAGTGCCTCCATGGAAGTAAAGAAAATTCATGTCCCCAAACAATAGTTATAATGAATAGCATCAAAATGTTCTCACCATTGTCGGAGACAAAGCTGGCATTTCAAGAAGGATACGAGGAGGAAGTTCTGATGCATTAATTGTAGTAGAAATTGATTCTTGTTTCCCCTCATCTGTAACATCCTGTTGTGCTGGTTTCTTCTCTTCAACCCCTGTCTCACCCCCCACCGAAGCAGGAACATTTTGGATGTCCTTTTCATCCTCAACCTTATCAAGGCCATAGTTAGAACTTCCATTAATCAAATACTTAAAATTCAGAAAGTGATTGAATCCCACAAATTAATAGTATAAAATCAATTGAGCTAATAGTTATATGAGGACCAACGTTATTAGATTTATGATTAACCAAAAATCAAAAGTAAACCGTATATTTTTAAAATGGTTCCTAGAAACTGAAAACTGCAATTAACTTCTTACATACTTCCAATTTGCAAGTCAATTTCAATGTCATCTAAGCCATTAATATTCTGTGTGCATGAAATATTTTTATTAAACTGGTGCAAAGAGCTAAAAGCAGAAAGGAAAAACAGGACATGCAAGGAAAACAATTGTGATAGACAATTTTATCAGAACAAATATATCCAATGGGAATAAAAAATCTTGAAGGAAAAAAAAAAGTTATACAAATTAGTTTGTCTGTAAAAGCTACTTTCTGTAGCAAAATGAAAATTCCACATAACAGTAATAGTTCAAGAATTGGAAATTAATGATGACTTACTGTTATTGCAATGGGTTGTCCAACGGGCACATCCTTTGAACCTTCTGGTACCAATATCTTTGCCAGAAATCTGCAGGAATTATTCAATTACTACAACAGACATTATATTGGTACACTTAAATTTGCATGCCTGGTGATCTACACTCATCAGTCAAAGTCAATTACATTGAACCCTGATATATTAACTGAAAATGCACAAGAAAATAACAATGAGACAAAAAAAATGATAATCAATTCTTACACTTCTTGATCAAAATTGAACATTTATGCATAAGACATGCACAAAAAGATAACAGATAGCTAAGTGGAAAAACAATTAATGACTACAACAACTCATGGGTGGTTTTCACCAAATTTATTGTTAAGAATTTAATTAGTATTGTGTTTGACAGCCACCAAAATTAAGAAACTTTTCTTCTTTTCTTTCTCCTATAAATAAATTGAAAATTTTTCTGAAACTAGTTTCAGAGCACCAAGTAATCTTTTTAAGCTTTGATCTTTGCCATTTTCATGTAGTGCACATGTGTAGCTATCAGCAATAAGTAGGGAAGGGTTCAAGCTGTGTTTATACTCCAATAGGCTTCAAGTGAAAGAGTATATTAAAACTATTAAAGACATTATCAGCCCTCATTTAAATTCAAACAGAACAGCTCAGATAATTTGCTGAACATCTTTAATGCAGAGATCCTTAGCTGCTGGTGTCTCTAGAATTATTTACCAACAATGCTTCTGATTTGTTATTTACAACTAACAAAGAAGTTGGAAAACATACTAATTTTCTAGATGGTAAAAAAACTCAAGTCTATACAGCTTAAATTACAGGTCATCCAAAACATGAGAAGAAAATTTTGAAAGGAAGAAAAAGAAAATTACCCCTCTTCAAGACTTTCAAATTCTAGTGTAGCTTTGTCAGTTTCAATTTCACATAGGACATCCCCCACTTCTATCTGTTAGATGGATGAAAATGATTAATTAATTCACAGAAGTCAATTTCCAAAATGAAAGTACCACATAAACAGAATTGTGATCTATAACTGTTAAGGTTCCAACATAAAACCAATTGGCAATATATGGAGTAGCGTAACATGTATTTAAACCATACCAAATGACATGAGGTAGGCAATGTGGGACTTTTAACATGCCCCCTCCAACGAAGCCTGCCGGACCAGGCAAAGGGTACTTTTTGACCCAACTAAAGGACAACTTTTGGCCCATGACAATAACCGGAAAGATGTTAGGTTTTGGCTCTGATACCATGTTAAGGTTCCAACATAAAACCAATTGGCAATATATGGAGTAGCCTAACATGTATTTAAACCATACCAAATGGCATGAGGTAGGCAATGTGGGACTTTCAACAATAACCATCAAAATATAAGAACTATATACTAACTGACCTTTTCTCCTTCTTTCTTCCTCCACTTTGCAATATTGCCTTGAGTCTACAGCCAAAAGATTAGGTCACCAACAGTTCATGGAAGCCCTAAACAGAATACAAATAAAACAGAGAAAAAAAAAATGTATCCAAGCTTACCATTGTAGGAGATAAAGCAGGCATCCCAAGGACCTCATGTGAAGAATCTATCAAGGAGAAATGATTAGAACATAACTAGACGCACATGACTTAAAATATGCAGCTTACTCTCTTTAATTACTAAAATAACAAAAAAAAAACAACTAAAAAAATTATAAAAGAAGAAAACTAATGAGATGAAGAGAATATATGGGGGATAAGGAACCCTTATAACCAAAAATGGAAAAAAACAACACAAAAATGGGATGAGAATCTTGTGTGAGTACAAATGAGAGAGAAATAAGGCAGAAAAAGAACCAACATTGGATTGGGTTTTTTCTTTCAGTTCACTAGGACTATCAAAACGAGTAATTCAGTCCAACCAGACCCTATGGTAGACCAATGAACTAATTTTGATCTAATTGATTTTTTTTTTAAATTATAACATATCTACATAAAAATAATTTATTCAACAAGAAAATTAAATAAAAAATATATATATAATGTAGAGAATTAAGGATCCATTCACTTCAAGAGTATGATTTAGAGACTTAATCTTCATCTCACTATTCATTTTTTGGTAATTTAATGATATAAAATAGTAATTCATCTTAACCATTAGACTACAAGAAAATGAAGAATAATTCTCTAACACTTGCTCTTTGAATAAGTATATTCCATTTCAAATTAATTTAATTCATATATGTTTTAATAAAATAATATTATTTGTATTTTTACTTGAAAAATAACTATTATTTTATTAAACAAGTGGGCTCATAAGTCTATGGGTTGCCCTAACCTAAACAAATCAGACCAGGCCAAAATTAATTCAATTTAAGCCACAACTTTTTGGGCTTAACCTACCCTACTTTTTAGGCTTTTTGTACCAGTCCATCAGGTCTTACAATTAACACAGCATGACCCATAAGTTTATGGGTCTAAGGCCTAAAAGAATTCATTGATCCCCCAATTTTTTAATTATCCCAACAGTCCTGCTATGGTCCAACAAACTGGCCTGGGGGTGGACAAGATTGAAATCAGTGTCAGTGACGGTTAGATTCAGTTTATGCTGTTGTTCATTTATATACATCTTCTTTACAAACTCAGTTGAGTAATGACAGTTAGATTCATGAACAAAAAATGCTCGACTCTTTCTCTTTTTCCTTACATTCAATCAGCTTCTCTTGGCTTCTTGATAACTAACACAGCAAGGCTACTTAATCACTTTGTATTCAAAGTGAGGTCTCCACTCCTATTAGCAACCATGACCAGAACACCTAACAGAAAAATTCTTGACAGAACACACATCAACAGTTTGACTCCCAAACTCAACATCATGTATCCTCCTTTCCCAGCCCCATCCAAAGTCTTCCAATTTCTCTCACAGACACATGAAGAGCATTGGATGGTTGTTAGTTAAGACTTACGAGAATTCTTAGATACCTAAAGGATCTATGGTCCATGGTCATCTTCTTCAGCTAGCACCAGCCAATCGTTCTATTCACCTATTGTTACCCAATGACAACAATAACATCTGAATACTTTATATCCCTAGGATCCAACAAATTTCCTGGCTATTCAAGAAGCAACCCTGGGTTTCCACGTCTAGCACCGGAGCAAAATGCAAGAGCTTAGCTAACATTTTTGGGAAGAAGCTGAAATTCTAAGGACCCGTCCTAGCTTGCTGAGTTGCATTTGCATTTTCCAATTAAAAGTACAAGAATAGAATGAAAATCTTAGAACCACCTCCCTACCACAAAATCCAGTTTTGCACCTCATAATTAAGTTTGTGTTTGAATCAATTGTAAACATAGTGAAAAAATAGATTATTCTGATAACCAATTATATGATATAAGTGTTATGTTTGGATGTGTTCGGCAAAAAGTGTTTTTAGAATAATCTATTTCGTTTGGATTATGTAAAAGAATCCCTTTTTATTAGCAAGATTACAAAACAAGGTATAAAGTTATTTGTAGTAGTTGGTTTTGTATTTAAATTAATCAGTTGTGGGGGACAAAATGGAAGAAGTTAGGAAAAAATAAAGTCCTAGCTTTTAATCATATCTCTAAAATTTCGCTTATCATCACAAAGCTATTTTCTTTGTTAAGATTATACTTAGATTAAACTCATTTGAATACTAACAAAAACAACATTTTCTATAAATCAAATTATATTCTTCAAAAATAATCAGATCCAAACATGCTCAAAACATCCGGAGTTGGATATTTTCTTTGAAAAGTAGAAGGTCCTAAGCAAGAGACTTATGGTGCGTAATATCACATGTCAAGAGTACAATGTAGACATTCTCACTAAAGCTACATCTTCTCAAAGATTCACTACTTTCTGTGACAACCTCAGGGTGTTTAATTCCACCATGAGTTTGACTTGGGAATGTTAAAGAACATAAAAATATAGTTAGGTTTGTAAAGCATGTGTTTGCTTACTTCTATAACAGAATTCAGTTTCTGTTGTAATGTTCACTTAATTTAGAATGCTAGTTGGAGGTTTTTAAGTTTATTGTAACAGACTCACTCCAGCTGACAACCCAAACTGCAGATAAATTACAGATCATCAGCTATTTTGCCTCTTATAAATAGCTAACTCTCTAAATTGATAACTCACTTTTGTAATCTCTCTTCTCTCAATAGCAAATTGGCATCACAGAATTCTCTTTTCGTCTTAATCATTTTGTAGGATCACTATTTTGCAATAATGCTGGGTCATCCTTCTGCCGCCCCTCCCCCCCCCTCAACCCATATCTTTTTCTGTATATATATATATATATATATATATATGTATACATTACAAGAGTCTATTAACTTTCTATTATTTAGAGGTTCTCTAATATTTAGTTTTACAGGACATTTGAGTACAAATAAGAAGGCAAGAAATTGCAAACCATAATGTTACCTCTAATATTTAGTTTTACAAGACACTATAGCTGATAAACATATTATGTAATTAATAAAATACACATCCAACAAAAATATGCACTACTCTTTCAACATAAAAGGTTAACACAGCATAGCAGTAATTAACAAGAAAACTTTCCATTATCAGCTGTAGAAAAAATAATCATATAAGAGAAGCACACAAGCTGTTGAATGAAGCAAAAATTAAAACATTAAACAAGTAGGAGCTTTATGAAAGTCGGAAAATGAAACATTAGGTACCTGAAGATGAAAAGTATTTGACTTCAGTCCACTGCCACATATAGTTGAAAGTTGTCAGAAAACATCATAGTAACTATTGGAATTTTTATCCATTTAAATGCTAACCTTTGACTTCAAATATCTATAAGGAATTCCAAAAATCCCTGAGCAAGACTTGAGCCTGATAAACATAACCATTAGCAAACCACCATGATATATAAAAATACAGAAGGCAGTGATGAAAGCCAGAATGATAGGTTATGAACATCTCAAACATAAAATTCACAATACTAGACATTTGCAAGGAGTCTGATAAGCCTAATAACATTCCTTATGAAAGGTTATGATACTATTTTAGAATTTAGTATGCCTAACTTTCGAAAGCTAGCTCAAGAGGTGAAGGTTTTCTCCACTTATATAAAATATTTTTGCCATATCACTAGTTTACAGGGGATCTCCAACATAATAAGATAGATATTCTCTATCTTATCTTAAAAGTACAAACTAACGCTGAAAGTAAGAATGCAAACTCTAACTTCACAGGTATAGAGAAGGAAAAATAAAAACAAGGAAGCAGGTAACCGATTCAAACCTTATATCTGTATCAGTTCCCACGGCAGAAATCGTTGAATTAGAGGCTCTGTGCGAAAAAACATAAGCCGAAACTGTAAGTTAGAAGCAGCATTTTAAGATGATGAAAAAAAGCACGAAATCGGAATTAGAAAAAATAGCACACCGATAGAGGGATCTGGTGGAATAAGAGAGGATGTGGAGGGAGCGAGAGAAGAGAGGGTGGCGAAGGCGCGAGAGTGCCATGTGTGTAGATTCGATGCAGAAGAGAAGAAAAGAGAAGAGAGATTGATGACACCAAATCAAACTCTTCTCTGGTTAGTTACTTTGTTTTAACATATTACAATTCTGAACACACGAGCCACGGGTAGGTGGAAACGCGACTATTTGTTTTTTTTAAGTATACACACGTGCATGTTGCACCCGTGCCAGCCGCACCAGTCATTTTTATTTTATAACATTTTTAATAATTTTACAAAATTAATAGACAACTTCTAAGATTTTTTATTTTTATTGCCAAGGTCATGAATAAATTTGCTTGTATAAACGTATTTATTGACTTTGAAAACTTTTGAGTTTGTTAGGAAAATTGTTTTTTAAAGATTGATTAAATGTTTGTGTTTTTTGACAGTCTTTTCTTTTAACTGTTATTTTTATTTTTTTGCTTTCTAATTTTGATTTTTATATTTTTTAAATTTTAATTCTTATTTTTTTAAGTATTTTTTTTATTAAATTTTGACTATTTATAATTTTATTTAATTGGCAGTTTTAAAAAAACATTAAAAAAATCATTAAAAAATTATTTAATTTCCTCTCGATGTTATGCAGTATTTGAAATAACAATAAGTTATGAATAATTAAATTAAAATTAAAAAAAATACATATAATTAAAATTCAAGCATTAATTTTTTTTTAAAATATATGGATATTTTAAAATTAAGAGACTAGAATTGTATGAAAAAAATTATAAATTTATAAAATGTAAGAACAAAAATTACAATGAAGTCTTTTATTTTTATTTTTTATTGTTTTGTTTTGTTTGCACCGTTGTTTGATGATTCAAACCTTTCTTTATAAACTGATAGTAATCCAATTTTAAGTTTTTTTTTCTTTTTTACATTTTTAATTGCAAACTTAGTATCTTATTCTTTTTTTTAGTTGTGTCTTCTCATAACAAAGTTTATGTGTAGCTTTTAATTGGTTTTTATTTTTTTATTAATTTATCTTTGATTTTATATTTTTAAATTGGTTGAATTTATTCCTTTAACATTTAAAAATATATAATTTTAATTCTTTTATATCTATATTTAATATTTCATTATATTGTTTTACCTTAATCAAATTAATAAAAGGATTAAATTCTTTTCATTATATTTTTCATTATATTAAATTCTTTTCACTGTTATAAATTAATAAAATAACTAAATTTATATATATTTTTTAACTTTCAAAGCTAATTAAATTTCAAAATATAATAAAAAAACAATCTTCACTCAAAATATATATTTAATCTCTCTTATTTTATCCCTTTTTAACACAATTTCATCAAAACAATGTTTCTTAGTCCTTCTACTTTTATCTTCAATCCTTATTTTTGTTAGACCCACATGTTTTGTATTGATGCTTATTTAGTACAGGGTTAAATTTTATAAAAACTTATATTTAGGAAGATAAGTTTATTAATTTATTTTTAAACAAACTTTAATGACACAAATTATTTCGTTATTTTAATCACAAAATTAAACAGAGATGAATAGAAGACTTGGGTTATATTGTTTTTCTGCTTTGAGAAGCTAAGTAACTCATGCTCCCACTTGGGCTGTTAGCAAGGCTTTTCCAGCCCAATATGGACGAGACTACGATCCAACTCAAGAAACAAATTAGACACATAGTTTTAATACTTATTTAAACTTCGTTATAGTATAATGTTATAGTATAATCTAAATTAACTAATTTCAAAACCAGATTTCATCAAATATTAACTTGATCACTAAAAATTTTTTGGATGAGGGAATGGATTTGAACAAGGTAGGGAAAGAAATTAAATACAAAATGAGTTTGTTTAAAATTAAAAATACAAAATTTTTTAAGAAAATTATAATTGATTTAATTATTTAAAAGTTGAAAGAATATATTAACTAGATAAATAATAATTAATTATCAAATTAATTGATTAAAATTAATAATAACAAATATTTATTAAAAATTAATAATGATTAAAAATCATTTAAATAATTACATTGTCGTTACAAAAATTGGAGTAAGTTTCTTCTTCTTTTTTATATTTATATTTGTATTATTTATAAATACTTTTAAAATTTCCTTATTGCGTTTTTTATACACTGTAGGAATATATGATTCATTTTAGTTTTTTTTTCTACCAATAATAGGCCTACTTTAACTCTTTACAAAAATGTAATCACATTTTAAAAAAAATGTATTTAATACGCAATAAATATAATTAAATTTAATACAAAATAAAAAATATAATAGTAAATTAATGTTCTTTATGTAGAATAAAAATAATTATTATACTCTTTTTAAAAAATCAAAAAATAAAAGTGGTTGTTTTGATGAGATAAAAAAATTAAATATATAATAATAATAATAATAAAATCAAAAGGATTAATATGATCTAAACTAACCATTCCTGACGACGGAGTTGTTACATATTTCCTGTACGATTAATTAGAATTTCCGTTTACAACAAATTTTATCTAATTTATATTTCAGTCCTTATATAGATTAAGAAGAAGTAGATTTTAATAATAATAATTTTATTATAAATGATTAGTAATTAAAATAATAATTATTTATTATAAATATTAATATTATTAATAAATAATAAATATAATAATAATAATTGATATTAATTATTTCATTTATAATATTTTTATATTTAATGTTAATTTTATTAATTATAGTATTTATTATTAATAATGATAATTATAATATAAAAATAATAATTGTAATTGTAAAGTTAATAACTAATAAATTTAATAATAATAAATAAATTTCTTTATTTATAATAATAAGTATTAAAAATATCTTTAATATTATTTTTACTTTTATTTTTAATAATATTATTAATTTTATAATTTATTATTAAAATTATCATAATTATTTTTATTAATAATAAATTTTATAAATATTAAAATATTATAAATTAAATAATTAATATTAATTATTATTATTATATGTAATAACAAATAATAATTATTTTATTTATTAGTATTTTATTATTAATTATTATAATAAAATTATTTTGAATAATAATAAATAATATATATATATATATATATATATATATATATATATATATATATATATATAAAGTGCGCTGAAAAACACGAATTTATTAAAGATAAAAAAAATGTTTAAAAAAAATTGATATATATATATATATAATTTTTTGACGTCATCTTTAAAATTTATTTTAGTGCGTTTACATGGATCATATGATGTGACCAGCGAAGAAGGAAAAGTCTAGGTCTAGGTGGAAAGTGTAAGTGTCGTACGACATCTCCTTTCGATAAAGGTTGTCATTGATGGTGGTGAGATCTAGTAGGATAGGAAGTACATTTTCAGTTGTTGAATTTAATTTTTTCATGTAAAAAATTTGTATCCTTAGTCTTATTGAGAAATAAAGAAAAAGAGGAAAAGATAGGAGATATGTTATATTATTTAATAATATTAATAATTATTTTAATAATAAAATTATAAGAATTATCATATTAATAATTAAAATAAAAATAGTTTAAATAATTATAATAATTTAAATTATAATATTATAATAAATATATAAATAATTATTATTATATTAATAATAATATTTTTAATAACAATCATAATAATCATATTCATAATTAAAATAATTATAATATTTTAAACTATATTAATAATAATAAATATTGTTTAATTATTTTTGATTTTTTATTAAAATAAATTTTTCTCATTTATATCAATAAAATATTTCTATAAACTTTCTTAGCATTTTTCTATTTTATCTTTTTCTCAATCCCAATAATTTCAAGTTTAATTCTTTTAATCCAAAGAATTTCTTAAGTTCAATTCTTTTAATCCAAACATATAGTACACCAAAGTCACGGCTTGCCATTGCTAACTAAAAAAAAAAAAAAAGTGAATAAACAGAAACAATATATAGCAAATATTTTGGAGCTTTTCAAAGGGACAGTATTTTAAATGAGAGAGAGACAGAGGAGCTTGAAATTCCAGGGAAAGATAAGCAGGAACCAATGGTGGGGGTTAAACGAGAACAGGAATGGCCCTAAGCGATTGATCCAAATCCATATCCTTAGGCTCCATGTTGTGTTCGAGTTTCCAGTCAAAGGAGTTGATGAGAGAGCCGAGCATGAGATGCAACATTCTAACGGCGAGTGGAGAGCCAGGGCAGATGCGTCGCCCACTGCCGAAGGGTGTCAGCTTAAAGTGCCGACCCTTGACGTCGATGTCAGAGTCCAAGAATCTCTCCGGCGAGAACACCTGCGCCTCCTCCCACACGTCTGGGCTCCTCCCTATGGCCCACTCGTTGATCAGCACCTGAGCACCCTGCGGGATCGTGAAGCCGCCCACTTCCACGTCTGTTTTGGCCTTTCGCGGCAGCAGAAGCGGTGCCGGCGGGTGCATGCGGAGACTCTCCTTTATCACCGCTTGTAAATACGGAAGCCTTGCCACGTCGGACTCCTCCACCGGGTTCCCCACTCCGATGGTTTCCGCCAACTCCTTCTTCGCCTTCCGCATCGCCTCCGGGTTGTGCATTAGCTCCGTCATTGTCCGTTCTAAGCCGTACGCCGTTGTATCAGTCCCCGCAACCAGTAGATCCTGTCACCAGTTACAAATTACCATTCACACTCAAATTTATAAGAGTAAATATCTAATTTAGTCTCTATAAATTATTTTTATTTGATTTTTATTCTTCCAACCTTTCAAATAACCATTTTTTTCCCTATAATTATTTTAAGATAGATAAATGATATTTAGTTTAGAGAGTTTGATTTTTATTTTTGGAAAAAGTTGATATTATATTACATATATTCGTCAATGTCACAGTCATAAAAATAAGTTATTTATTGATTTTTATTCAAAATAACAATTGATTAACTTTTCTTTCACTTCATGATTTTTTTTTCTCTTTTCACAAATAACTTAAAAATAATTATTTTATAAATTATACTTCAACATAATTTAAAATATATTCACGAATGATAATTTAATTTAGTTTGCATATAAATAAATTATTTTTTAATATTTTTAAAAATATTTTAAACTAAAATAAATATATTAAAAATTACAAATAATTTGTTTAAGTAATAAAATAATATTTATTATGATAAATATCATATAATTTAATATTTTTAACAAATAATTGTTTTTCATATTTAATATACTACGGGATTAACATATAATCAATTATTTTTCATATCAATAAATATATTATAGGGGGAACATTCATATTACTGATAATTTTTTAAATATTTATCTTAATTTAAAATAGTTTAAATACAAAATATATATTTTATTTAGAATAAATTATATTATTAATTCAAAATTAATATTTAAAGAGAATAAAAAAATGAAGTGTCATCAGATGAAACTATAATAGTGAAAGATAAAAAGTAAGATATGAAAAAATATTAATGAAATACAATGAGTTGCCAAATTTAAGTGATTATAGAATAATAAAACATATCATGGTAGAATGAGTTGAATTTTTGAGGAGTGAAAAATATTTTGTGTAGATTAACTAAAATATTTTTTTTCAGAAAACATATTCAAGTAATTTTTTGCATTAAAGTCAATTATTTATGATCTGTGATTAGTGTGTGTCTGAGGGTTGGATAAAGAGTGATTGCAGTGAAAGCAGCAGCAGAAAGTACAGGTGAAACACTGCAAAATCGAGAAGAGAAAAAGAAAGGAATGTGTATATGCATACGAGGAATAAATGTTTGATCTGTTTTCTATGTATCTTCTCGCTACTCTGCTGAGAAATATCAAGCAAGATATCAAGCATGTCATGGTTAGTGACATAATTCTTCTCTTGCCTCATCTTCATCCTTTCATCGATCAAGGGGTCCAACACATCAAACAACTTATCTATGTAATTGGTGGTGTGTCTTCTAATGCCTTGTGGATCAAAAAACCTCAACAAGGGGAAGTAATCCACCAAATTCGGTGTCCCTGTGGCTTTCAAGAGAGTCCCCACAATGTGTTTGTACTCACCATTACCTACAGATGGAACAAAATCCTGGGACACAAAAGTATATGACAAAAAGTTAATGCAAGCCATGAATGCTGCTCTCCCAATATCCACCACTTGGCCCTCAAGGCTTTTTTGGCGGATATCACTCAGCAGTTCCTGCAGTTTCTTGCGTCTAAGGTCTTGGCTTGCGTCAAGGGTTTTGACGGAAAACAAGTTTCCGTGACAAATTTTTCTCAGTTCTTGCCAAAGGGGTGAGACAGGGAGAAAGACTATGCTGTAATGGTTATGGTTGTACGATGTGGTGATGTCGGGGTTTGTTCTGTCAGAGAATAACGTGTCATAGGTTTGGAGAATCTCTTTGGCTGCGTTTGTTGAAGAAATTACTATGGTGGTTGATTGGCCTATCGTGAAACGCATTATGGGGCCATAGATTTTGGCAAACTCGGCCATTGTCTGCTGTGGCTTCTTGTACAGTTGAAGAGAGTTTTTGACGATGGTGAGAAGGGATGGTCCTGGTGGAAGCTTTCTGCTTTTTGCATGCAGTGAACGAATAGCATGCATGACTGCGCATGCCAACATGATGATCAATGCAGTGGTTGCTACAGTATCCATTTCTGTGGTGGTCAGAGAGAAGAAAAAAAAAAACTGTAAGAAATTTGTAATATTATGCTATTACACGGACAAAATGTGGAGAAATATTTTTATATTAATTGTTCTTATTTTTGTGTTTGAGATGAGTGGCAGCTTTGCCATGTGGGGTTTTGCTGGTGGTGTTTTGAGTATTTAAAGGGTGATGAGTTAGAATATGGCATCATTTAACTCATCTTACTTCTAAGTTTTTTATTTTTACTTAATATATGAATTTCAAATTTCCACTTAAATTGTGAACAACGACATTCATAAATCTAAAGCATGTATACAGATATTTTGGTTCAAGATAGAATCTTGTGATGAGAAAGGCGAAGGAAAAGTGAGTGAAACAATGGAGAGAAAAGAGCAGAGAAAAGGACTTACTATTTCAGTTAAGCAATACCAAAGTACTCTCTAAGATTCGTGCCGATGCCTTTCTTCTTCTCGTCCTTATATAGAAGAGGGGTGATATGTGAAAATTAATCAGGTACTAAGAAATGAGTACTGATATATATACCAGAAATCATATAACTCTTTAAATAATTCACTTTTATTAATATAATAATCTATAGACTGATTTAATAAAAATAAAAATAAAATAAAACTATTATTATAATATATAACTCTTTAAATAATTCACTTTTATTAATATAATAATCTATAAACTGATTTAATAAAAATAAAAATAAAATAAAGCTATTATTATAATATTAAAATAGAGTTATTTATAAAAATGATATGAATTAATAAAAATAAAAATAAAATAAAGTTATTATTATAATATTAAAATAGAATTAATAAAAATAAAAATAAAATAAAGTTATTATTATAATATTAAAACAGAGTTGTTTACAATAATGATATGAATTTGGGTTGATAGCACCAACGCGGTTACACACTTTCGTACCTTGACTACACTTCTCCACGAGTTTTGTCTGAAAAAATTGATGACGTCCTCCTAATAAATAACCTCCAACAACTTCATTTTTGTTTTTAAATTGATAACGTCCTTCTAATAAATAACTTTCAAACCAATTCATTTAAAAATATGATAATAATTTTATTTTAATTTTTTTATGATTATTATATTAATTTTCATAAGATATCATAAAAACTAATATTATTTATTTAGTATTTTGATAATACTATATTTTGTTTCTGTTTTCTCATTCAACTTATTTCGTTGTATTTTTCTAGTTTCTCTAGTCATCTATCTAGGTAATAAAATATATATATATATATATATTTATTTGTATGCGTGTATTATGTTACATTTTATCTATTACTGAGTGATGTAATAAGAAAAGATACAAATAGAATTTATCTTATGAATGTGACGTGTCAACGAAACAACCATTTGTCACTGTTAGACACGTGCATGTACTCTCTATCTTTCCAATTATACACGTGATTGGGCCCATTTTAACCATCCCATTTCGCATAGATACCATGGCCTCAACCACATCTTTTAGCTTCAAGTCCATCTCCTTCTTATTTTATGTGGTTGAGAGAGAACAAGGGGCACTGATTTGTAAAGAATTAAACATGTCGTTTGCACTTGCAATGGATGACTGATAAATAGCATTGAGAAAAATAAATTGGGTATGAATCATGATTTATTCATGTTTTAAAGTTTGAATACAGTTTTTAGACTACATCTAAAATATTTTATACTCAGTGTCTGTTAGTTATAATAGTTTGGATGGATGTATTTATAAAAGTCTTCTTTTAGTACTATTGGGCAGACATTACCATCAGTAGTACGAATTCGTTTTTTAATTGATAAATAGCATTCAGAAAAATAATTTGGGTATGAAACTTGATTTATTCATATTTTAAAGAAAAGTTTGAATACAGTTTTTAAACTACATCTAAAATATCAGTAGTACGAATTCGTTTTTTAATTGATAAATAGCATTGAGAAAAATAAATTGGGTATGAAACATGATTTATTCATATTTTAAAGAAAAGTTTGAATACAGTTTTTAGACTACATCTAAAATATTCTATACTCAGTGTCTCTTAGTTAAATAGTTTGGATGGATGTATTTATAAAAGTCTTCATTTAGTACTATTGGGCAGATACCACACTTCACGCATTCGTTTTTTAATTACTCAAATAGTATATTGTAGATTTTATTTACTTAGATAATATAATTTTTTTGTTAAGTTAAGAATTTAATTTTTCGAATACTGAAACCTAAATGTAATTGTATTTTATAATTTTTTCAAACAATTTAAAATTTGATTTTTTGATAATCGAATTCTGAATAGTTTTCTTTTTATTTTGTTAAAAAAAACTAACTAATATATATATATATATATATATATATATATAATATGTTATAATATTTTATTTAACATTTTTAGTTTTAAATTAGATATTTAAAAAGATTTGTATATTTCTAAAATTAATAATATATTTATATTTATTGTTGAAAGTAGTAAAATAATATTTTTAAAATATATTATTAAATATTATATTTAAATTTATTTGTATGATTAAACTTTTTTTTAATTTTTTGATTTATTTGATATTATAATTTTTTTAGAAACTAATAATAAATTAGGAGGATAATAAAAATCTTAAAAATTATATGTATATAAGAAGAAATAATATTTTGATGTAAAATTATATATATATATATATATATATATATATTCTAAAATATAATTTATATTAATTACTATAAAATAAAATATATATTCTAAAATATAACTTATTTTCAAGTTGTTAATTATTATTCTAATTTATGCAAATATATATATATATATATATATAATTAATTTAAAGTTTTTAATTTAAGTAATATATCTATATATAATTATAATTTATATAATATATATAATTTATTTAACATTAATTTTATAGTTATAATTTTTTTTAAAGTTATAATTATAAATATGATTTTTTTAATTATATAATTATAATTTTTATAATATATAATTGATAAATATTTTTTTTAATTTTAATTTAATATATATTTTTATTTATAATTTTTTAATATATATTTGAGAAATTAATCAATTATAATCTATTATTTGAAAAACTAATCAATTATTTAAAAAACTAATCGATTATAATTAATTATTTGAAAAAATTATCGAATATAATTGATTATTTAAAAATAATCAATTATAATCAATTATTTGAAAATATAATTGATTATTTGAAAATTTAATCGATCATAATGAAATAATTAAAAATTAATCAATTTAAAATTTGATTTGTTCCCAATCAAATTCTGAATAGATTTTTTTTTTTGATAAGAAAGAAAAACTAACTAATATATATATATATATATATATATATATATATATATTCTAAAATATAATTTATTTAAATTTTACATAAAAATATTATTTATTTTTATATGTATTTTTCTCGTAATTTATTATTAATTTCTAAAAAAATATTACAATATCAAATAAATTAAAAAATTAAAAAAATTTAATCATACAAATAAAAATTATATTTTACTACTTTCAACCATAATTCTAAATATATTATTAATCTAATAAATACATAATTCTTTTTAAAACTATATTTAAAACTATAAAGTTTATATAAAACATTATAAAATTATATATATATATATATATATATCACTTAATATAAATTTGAAAAATTATTTAAACAATTAATTAATTAATTTATAATTATTCAATTATGATCGATTAATTTTTCAAATAATCGATTACTTTTTCAAAAAATTGAGTATAATCTATTAGTTTTTCAAATAATCGACTATAATCTATTAATTTTTAAAATATACATTAAATAATTACAAATAAAAATATATATCTAGTTAAAATTTTAAAAAAATATTTATAAATTATATATATTATATAAATTATAATTATAGAGTTAAAAAAATTATATTCTGAATTATAACTTTTAAAAAAATTATAATTATAAAATTAATAAGAAAAATAACTATTTTTTATGTTAAATAAATTATATATATAACATAAATTAAAATTACATATATTAATTTCAAACTAATTATTATTATTACATATTTATTTATTTATTGTATACATTAAAATAATAATTATCAACTTAAAAATAAATTATATTTAATATATATATATATATATATATATATATATATATCATTCAAAATATTACAAAAATATAAGAAAAAAATACATTTCAAAAATATAATTTTACATTAAAATATTATTTCATCTTATATGCATATAATTTTTAAGAATTGTATTATCCTCCTAATTTATTATTAATTTCTTAAAAATATATTACAATATCAAATAAATAAATAAATTAAAAAAATTAACCATACAAATAATATAAATATAATATTTAATAATATATTTTAAAAATATTATTTTACTATGTTCAACCATAAATCTAAATATATTATTAATTTTTAAAATATATAAATAGTTTTAAAATTTTAAATTTTTAATAAAATATTATAATTATATATATATATATATATATATATATATATATATATATATACTAGTTTTTTTTCATATCAAAATAAAAAAATCTATTTAGGATTCGATTGTGAATAAATAGAATTCTAAATCAATTACTTTTTTAATTACTCTGTTATGATCGATTAAATTTTCGAATAATCGATTATATTTTCAAATAATTGGTTATAATCGATTACTTTTTCAAATAATCGAGATTTTAGATAGCGGTTCTAGAACTAACCGCTATTAAAAATATATTTTAGATAGCGGTTAACATGAAACCGCTATTATATGTTCATTTTTAAGAGCGGTTAAAGTGGAACCGCTATCATATATGTGTCACTTTTAATATTTTATATGTGTCACTTTTAAGAACGGTTAACATTTTAACCGCTCTTAAAAGTGAACATATAATAACAGTTCCACGTTAACCGCTATCTAAAATATATTTTTAATAGCGGTTAGTTTTAGAACCGCAATTTGAAATCTTGGGTCAATTCTTGCTCAAGCGACGGTACTTTCGCTGAACGAGAAGT